GAATCTAAAGTAATTTTCAGTAGTTCCATACATCTTTATCGCGAATAATTTTCTAAAACAATCAAAGCACTAGACATTTTCACACTTTGAATCATATCGATTTCTAAAATCATCCTAGTTCGATGTAATATAGAACGTGGTTTTATGAGATAGATTCGAAGTGCGCAGCCATTAGCTCGATATTGTCTTCAGTTTACAGTACTTCACCGAAGATAATACCGATTGCCCAGGCCTCACCACGAGGAGGTTGCTGCGAGTGGAGGCCCAAGGCAAGTAGATGGAATCACAAGTTCTACATCTACCCACCTTTCACAATAAACCTTATAAATTACTTAAATCTTAACTATATAATACTACCGATACTAAAATCCCTCGGCGGATGACTTCTTTCTTGAGCCTAAACCTATAAAAAACTAAGTTCCCTCGTCGGTTGTCTTCGTTCTTCAGCTTAGAACTAATATTATCTTAATATTCTAATTAATACGAATTAATGCTAGTAATACGAAATAACAAATTTAACGCAATGTAGTCGCTAATACTCAAACGAAAGAGATAGACGGAATGGAAAAAGTTCCATCGATCATTTCGTTTACGCACCTAATATACCAAGCCAAAAATTAATTCTACGATGAACCACGTTAAACTACAGTATGAACAAGTATCGCGATCAAAGTGTTGCCAGAACCTGGTTTAAGAAAATAGGAAAGACGGGCGCAACCTCGCAAACCCGAATCCATCTCTCACTTTCCAGGCCCTTTGGGCTGGTCACCTACGTACCAGACCCGAGCACAGGTCATGACCAAGCATGGTAGTGCAAGCGAGATCCCCTGTAAAACAGAGTCCTTTTACGGAGCAGACTCCCGTCTACTCCGTAGGCGGGTACGTTGTACCCAGGCGCGCACGAGCCTTTACTCCAAATCCTACTTACCAGGCAAAGACTAAACACGTCCGATATCTGGCTTCTCAATAGAAACCAGAGGGATCGGCAAACAGTCTTAGTGCACAGGCCCACTGCCCGTACCATAATAGGTACAGACCCACTGCCCATACCCCAAGTCTGTGTAGAGAAATCAACGAGCAAAATGAATTAATAATAACTTGGTATGCACAATGGCTGATCACAATTTAAGTCTATTAATAGATAGACTAAAATTAATAATAAACGATGTGATGATGAATATGAATATAACAATGAATATCGAATTATGATTTAAGTTTAACTTACAGTAACTTAACGCAGTGGTAGACGCACGCTTTGAAGATGTAGACGTTGATCGATGTCTTCTTTCGATGGAATAACTGTTTGGAAAAATATTTTTCATTATACAATACACATAGAATACATAATATGCACAGTAAATAAATCACAGTAAATAAGAAAATAAATATCGAAGCCAATGGTTCTCGAACATCTGTAACATACAAGGAATTAGTAACAAGAGAGGGGACACAACAATATGCACAGTATATAGATTAGTAACATGCACAGTAAATAAATAAATAATATGCACAGTAAATAAATCACATTAAATGAATCACAGTACATAAGAAGATAAATATCGAAGCCAATGGTTCTCGAACATCTGTAACATATAAGGGATTAGTAACAAGAGAGGGGACACAACAATATGCACAGTAAATAAATTGATGGTTGTCGAATGCCTGCAACAAACAATGGGTTAGTAACAAGAGAAAGGACGAGTATGAGACGCGCGACCACCCTCCGCGACGGTTCACGACAAAGTGAGGAAGCAAGCACAGACCTGCACGGGATGGTACGACCTTGGTACACGGCGTACACGGCTAAGTCAATAAACTGGGTGACGCAACTCACTAGCGCGTTGGATCGACGGAGAGCACCGATACTCGGCACGCTCTACCGTACTCTCTCGCTCGCACACCTCTCTCCCATAGACCACCGAAATTCTTCGGCACGCGTCACACCGACGGAGAGCACCGATACCGCGGCTCGCTCTATCGCTCTCGCTCGCACGCCGTGACGTCACCCGATTCCCGGAATTCCGCGGCTACGAGATGGCTCATTACGGTAAGGCATTCCCGCAAGGGAAATTGTAATAAATGGGAATAACATAATATGAAACTTCTTCACCTCTTCTTGAACATTCTAATTTCATACCCCTAAACTGGGTACCTGAAAGTATTTCAATGAATTTGTGTAAAAAATTTTACTACTTCCTAAAAGACTCCGTGTGAATATATCACTTCATTTGTGCTAATAATACTCAGAGAACCCCCGGAGCATTGTAAGGGACCCCGTATATAAGAGATGTATGTACATTATGTATAGGGTGGAAATTGTAAATATAATGTGATTTAATACGCATGCGCTGAAGATTACTGATGTCAGATGTCACTGACATCATGTCAGGTGATAAATAGTGATAAGTTGAGATAGGCACGTCAGCTGTCACTATTATCAGTTTGAGCCTTTTAGTACATCATTTTTTAAGGTCCAATCGTGACATTAGAAAATGATGTCGGAAAGAGATTATGCACCTCTCAGTGCTGCTTGTGTACGTTCTCTGAATGATAAACTTTACGAGAAACGGAAAGCGGCAGCTCTGGAAATAGAAAAGTGAGGTTACGGGTTTTGTTTACTGGTATTTCTTCTTCACATTTGCTTTCAATGTTTTACTATTATTTATTCGTTTCAGGATGGTGAAAGAGTTTGCCGCTCATAATAATACCGTTCAAATTAAACGTCTTCTAAAAGTACTAGGTCAAGACCTAGCGACTTCACAAAATCCACATACACGAAAAGGTGGTTTGATAGGCTTGGCAGCGATAGCGGTAGGTTTAGGAAAAGACACTGGTCAATATATAGAAGACTTAATTCATCCTATTCTGGCTTGTTTTTGTGACTCTGATTTACGAGTAAGATATTATGCTTGTGAAAGTTTGTACAATGTGGTAAAAGTAGCTAGGGGTGCAGTATTACCGCAATTTACAGATATTTTCGCAGCACTTAGTAAATTGGCATGTGATTCAGAACAAAGTGTGAAAAATGCTACCGAACTACTTGACAGACTTATGAAGGTAATTAAGATATTTGAAACATTGAGAAAGCTATGAAGAAGGTCCTTCTTTAAAGTATAATTTCAGGATATTGTCACAGAGAGTGGTCTGTTTGATTTAGTTGGGTTTATGCCATTATTACGAGAACGAATTTATACCAAAAATCCATTTGGTAGACAATTTGTGATAGCTTGGGTCTCTGTCTTAGATGCTGTTCCTAATATGGATTTTATTATATTTTTACCTGAGATTCTTGATGGTCTATTTAGGATCTTAGAGGATCCAACACCAGAGATTAAGATAGTTACAGATACAGTTCTTGGTGAATTTTTACGTAGTATAAAAGCTAATCCTGGCAGGGCAGATTTTCCAGGAATGATAAATATATTAATTGCACATGCTCAAAGTACAGATGAATTACTACAGTTAACAGCAATAACATGGATCAAAGAATTTGTGCAACTATCTGGACCTTTAATGCTTCCTTATATGTCTGGTATTCTTATATCTGTTTTACCTTGCTTAGCATATGATGGAGATACTAGGAAAAGTATTAAAGAAACTGCCACTCAAGTAAATACAAACTTAATGAAATTGATAACTATGGAAAACACACAAGTTATAAATAATATGTTTGAAAATAATGCAGAAGCTGCACAGGGTAAATTATATTTTCCAAAATATTTAAGAAGTTATAACTTGTATAAAAAATAATAATAAACAGAGATTTCTTGTAGATGCGAAGCAAAATCACTCTTTAGCAGAAAGTTTGGATTTATCCAGTGTTGTTGAAGTGCTAACTAAGCACTTAATGTACATGTCGGTTCAGACGAAAGTTGCCGTTTTGAAGTGGATTCATCATCTGTTTATAAATATTCCACACAAAATGTTTCACCATATCGAGAATTTGTTTCCAATTCTAATGAAATCGTTAAGTGACAGTTCTGACGAAGTTGTACAACAAACATTAGTTGTAATGGCTGAAATTATTAGTTCGAAATCTCCTGAAGCAGCTACCACAGATTTGAATGCAGAAATGCAAAACAAGTACTTTACCAAATTCATAGTGAATTTATTAAGAATTTTTTCAACAGACAGGCATTTACTAGAGGAAAGAGGAGCTTTTATTATAAGAGAGTTATGTGTTTTATTGAGCGCTGAAGATATTTATAAAACATTAGCCACAATATTATTGGAAGAACAGAACTTAAGTTTTGCTTGCACAATGATACAAACTTTAAATGTTATATTATTAACAAGTTCAGAGCTATTTGATTTACGAAACAAACTGAAAGACTTAGATTCTTTAGTAAGTTTTGTTATATTTGTAAGAATTTCAATGATGTCTTTTTAATTGGATGCCAATTGCAGGAAAGCTGTGAATTATTCAAATGTTTGTATGTATCCTGGTGCCACAATCCTGTTGCAACTGTTGCACTGTGTCTTTTGTCACAACATTATGGACATGCCTGCAATATTATAAGATCATTGTATCCTTTACGTTTAAGTACTTTTTTTTACTCTACATTTTTAACATAAGTTTACTATATTTTTAATATTACTTAACCATAAATGAATATAGTGAAAATATAGAAGTTACTGTAGAATTTCTCACTGAAATTGATAAGTTGGTACAGTTAATTGAGTCTCCAATATTTACATGTAAGTAGATCTCACTATATTCTGCTAGACTTTGTACTTACATAAAATTCATTTATTTCAGATTTAAGATTACAACTTCTCGAAAGAGAAGCAAATGATGCATTAGTATATGCACTTTATGGTTTACTCATGATTCTTCCTCAGAGCGAGGCATATGCAACATTGCAAAGACGTTTAGCAGCAATTCCTCCAACAAAGTCAATATCAAAAACTGTAACAAGTCCAAAACCTTTTAAAGATACCTTTGACTTCCCTGAATTGTTGAATCATTTCCATACTATACAAGAACAACATAAAGAGCAAAAACGTAAACAACGATTAACAAATTTAATAGAAAAAAATACAAATCACAGTGATATGTAGATACAGTTAGTCTCACGACGTTCACGATGCTAAAGCCTTGCTGATCATCGTGAAGAGGTCGGAGAAAGCTGAATGAAAATATTGAAAGTAAATCAGATGAAGCACTAAAGAGGGACACAGGATATGATATAGATACGGTATCTGTACAGTATTATAAATCTGAGAGATTTTTTGGATGGCTCCGAAGAATGTATCTGTGTATCATCTACTAATGTAAAAAAAATTTGCTTATTTTTTTATTATGTTTTTATGAAACCTTGATAACTAAATCAGTGTTATCTTCCCAATGGAAATGAATCCAAACACAAGCTTATTCTAATTATTTCTAATTACCCAAAATGCGTAACTGATTTAAGGTAACTTAAATTATTTCTAATCGTTTTGTGTATTAAATTGTGGTTCTTCTGGACGGATTATCCGAAAGCCATTTGTCTCCCTATTAATTTGGATATCGGCGTTTTACCGTACTATTAAAAGATATCCGAATATAGTCATGCTTGATTACATTTTCATTAGGAAAATTTGTATGAATTCGAAATACTTGTACAAAGATAAAATAAAAATATACTTCTTTATTGTTGGATATCATGTTACACGTATATGCCGTTGCACTGGGCAGTCAACAGTATGTTTGAATATAGAAGAATTATTGTAACATTTATAGAAGTTTAAATTTTAAACGATTATAAATAATAATTTCTATAAAAGTAAATTGCTATATGTACATATGTATTTATACTTTTTTTACTGTAAGGACATATTTATATAAACACAGTAATATTTCTAGTATTTTTTCTATTCCAACATAATGAACGTGCAAGTATATACCTAAGAGCATTTCGCCTACGCTTTGGGCAAAATAGTGTTGTATATACAGTACAAATACGTGAAAGCATACTTTATACACTTTAACTATATTACTTCAATACAATACACCAACGTCCATAATGTGTTCTTCGTTTAACAGAAGAAAATAACTTGTACTTCTTGCATTGTACATTCTAATCGTAATACTCTCATCTAAATACACTGTACATTATTCAATTTCGAACATTCATTTTATAAATTTCATGTACACGTCAGTCTTACTCTCAAAAAAGGTAAAGAAAATAAAAGTTAAAGCAAGAATCGCTAAAGCGACGTATACTCGGAATCATCAATCTCCTCTAAACCATCAAGCGTCGATAAACCATGAAGCTGATCGATAAGCCTTCCATTTCTGTACAAAATCATTGTAATACATTCTTGTGTAACGCAAATATTTTTCCATGCCTTCGTACTTTCTTGAACAGGTACATTAGTTTTTTCAACGGTTTTCACTTTTCCTGGAAGTCTATCGATTAAGTGCAAAAAGTTCTCATACCGGTCTTTACTTTCCTGTGATAAACGATATGAATATGTTTCTAATACATGTTCGTAATTATCTACATCTTTATCTAAAATCTGAGTTTGTAGGAAAACGGTTTGTGCAATTTTATACCAATCGGCAACACATTCGGATCGATTTATCATTGAAGGGATACAAAACGTTTCAAGGAGATTCTTTATTCTCTGTCCCGTTTCTGTAACCTAAGGAGAAATGCCAAAATGAGATGTGTATTACCACATTGTTGTGTCTGTCTCTTTATATACATGTTACTTTATAAATGCCCTGCTTGAAATACCTTTATTCGTTCCAGTACATGAAATTGTTCATCGTTGTATGTGAGGCTGCGAGTAGCTCTGTCTCTCAATAAATGTTGCCAACCGTCTCGTAAACGATCGACCAAAGTTGTTGCTTTTTGACTTGCTTTATTGACCCATGGACACCATAATCCACGTATATTATTGTCCCACTCAGCTCGTAAACTACCTTCTTTTACATACCTGTAGTTGGAGTAATGAACACTTTATTTTAAGAGTATCTTATTCCAACTGAGATGCATGGTCAGTTCTGTTTAATTATAGTAAAGGAATAGTAAATACAAATGTATCATATAAGTTTCATCACCTTTGATGAAGTTGCACTATTGCAGGAGCCAGTTCAGTGAGAAGTTCCTTGCTCTTCGCATCTAGCTCCTTCTTCCAATTTTTTGTTTCTAAACCATTCTGGTTGCCTAGTTTCCTGGAAATCTGTCGAGTAAGATTCTCACTTCTTTCCACTGCTGTTGCTGTGTCTTCTACAGCTTTTGTGAATTCTTTGAAATGTTGACATTTTTCTAACAATCTTGTGAGCTCTGTTGAAACAAGTCCACTGAATGCCTCTATTGCATCCTGCGATAATTTGCTGCACAATACCAATTTGTCGATTCTTCTTTTACATACATATCCAACTGAACAAGCCACTTTAGCTTGGCTTGCATCATTTTCTACAGATACCAAGTTTGCGAATACTGGAAATTTAGGTAACTCTGAGTCCATTGGTAAAGTAACATTATTATTTTCTTTAGAAAACAGCATTAATGGCTTATCTTCCGATGTAGGCGGATAACCTTTTCCTGGTGTGGATTCTTCAACAATGCTTGTTAAAAATGCATCTCCATATAGGAGAATCTGGACATGCGGAGCAATGTCAGTTTGATCTTGAATGTGTACCTGAAGTGCTGTTAGTTTTTCCTCGGGATGCAGGAAAACTTTTATCAAGCTGCCTTTATGTACATTAAATATATGCACACGTTTTCTGGAAAGTGTATCTGTAACTTCTGTAAAAAATCGTTCGAAGCTCCATATCTTCTGAGGATCAACTTCTAGCAATCCGGCTAGTAATGGAGTCACAATTTTCTTTAAACCAACACTCAACTGACAATTTTGTGGTAGTTCTCTGCTCCATTCAATTGGTCCATTTTCTGAAGTTTGCACACCTGATATCACACCAGAGGATTTTTTTGTAGTAATGTAAAACATTGTCTCCTTATTCCTACGTCCACCAAATGGTCTGAATGGTAAATTGCCTGTAGCTACATGATACAATGTTACACCTATAGACCACAGATCTACAGTTGCTCCGAATGTCTTTCCAACAGGTTTACGTAGAACAGCCCTTTCATATATATCTGGATGCAGATATTCTTCTGTACCATACAACGATACAAACTGTTGATCTTCTTGTAATTCTCTGGCAGCACCAAAGTCAGTAAGCTTATAAATTGTACTACCATCGTCAGCAATAAATTTCATTATATTGCCTACAGGAAAATTAATAGTATTTCATGACAAAATAGCTAAAACCCATATAATGTAGAAACATTTTACTTTTAATTATATCATACCTGGTTTTAAATCTCTATGTACTAAATTATTATCACGCAAATGTTTCATTCCAGCAGTTAAATGTTCTAAGACCAACAAAAACTCGCTTTCTGCTAGCCCATAAGTATTTTCTGGATCATCAAGGATATTAAAAAGACTGCCTCCTGTGCAAAGTTCCATAACAATCACGGTACCACGACCATCCTGTTCTTCCTCAATTGCCAATAACTGGACAATGTTTTCATGATTTACTTTCTTCAGAACTTCGAATTCCCGCATTTGTACGTCATGTGGGCGCATATGACTCAGCTGATTGAATGTCTTAACCGCGACAGGTTCCCCATTACTTTTATTTACACCTTGAAATACTGCGCCAGTTGCACCCTTACCGAGGACACTGGTCGTGCACCACACAAAATTGGCGGATCCACGCAGGAAAGACATTTTGCACTTTCTGACAATCCATGCAAGATTTGTATCTTTTGGAATCTTTACAAGTGGTTTAACCTTCTTCGGAACTGATAAATTTCACAGGTTTTCTACTCATCGAAGTTCAATTATACTGTTCAATTATACTATCTTGAATGGTTTCATAAGGTGTTACATGAACATTTGTACGAATAAGTAATACACAGTTTTCATCATCGTCAACATGTAACGCACAATTGTCAGCAGTCAAGCGGATTTCCGAATAAACTATAGTTTACAATCCATTTTCTTCAGTAACGTAACGATATCTTGACGACCCCTTCCTTCTATCATACACATAATTTAAAATAGTTTCGAATTTATTCATAGTTAAATAACAATATTTCTTGTGAATACTCACAGAAACTATATTGTTTAAATTATAGTAGTAAAAATTAAGGGTGATTGTATAAACTGATTCTATGAACTTGCATTGTTTAGATTCGTATAACAAGTACTATTTTTTATATGTAATTACATATCTACTTCCGCCTTCTGCTCCAGTGAGATACTAAGAAATTCTTAAAACTTTTATACAAACATATTAACGATAACCCACAGTAAGCTTCTCGATGACACGGGGTCACGAAAGAGAAGATACGAAACATTTAATCATACCAATACAGGGTGGTCCATTAGAAACAGGTCGCTTAACTATCTCTTATTAAATTGATGTTTAAATATAGATCTCAGGAGATAACAAATACAATAAAAAATAAACAACAGAAAACGGTGTTTACTATTCTATTATAATTTTATTACAGACGTATGAGCGAAACTGTCGTAAAAATAATTAATGGAAACTCGTTTGTTATTACGGATTATACTGTACTCGCAACATGACATTCACCACTTTACATGTGCATATAGTTATATGTATCTAGCATAGAAATAAAACAGTTCACGGTGTATTTTGTACGTATATACAAAAACAAAGGAGATGTGTCCTTGTTAGCGATATATTCACGAATGAATCAGTGCTGTCGCAGTAGCAGTCTTCGTTATCCTGGCCCATGACGTATCCCCAGAAAGGCCTAATTTATAATTAGACTGCGGATGTTTATGCAAATCCACAGTATTGGAAACTAATTTATAAAAATGAAAATTGGACAGACACGTGTTTCCTGTATTAAAGGTTCGGCTATGTCAGTTATTATTAACATACAAGTGCTATAAACTTTGGCGAAGTATTATTTTACTGCATTTTGCAAGTTATGAGTTGCTATAAATGTATAAGTTGATTTATAACGCCCTCAAGCATCTATCGCTTTTCCTTCCCAAATTTCATGTTGACAATGTTTTGACGACCGTTAGGGAACGCGCAGATGAACGGTCCAAGTTTCACATTTCTTAGAGCTACTGCATAAATATATCAGAAACTGTAGTTCAATTCGATTATATTTACGATATTTAAATAAAAAAAAGTAAAAGATCAAGTTCCGCAAGATTTGCTACAAACACTTTTGCGCGCACATTGGCAGCAAATTGACTTACCAGGGTCTCGATAATGATCTAACATTCTACTGACTGCACCACACTTCAATCTTTGTAGAATGCTTAAATTATATAGAAAATCAACGCATTTACAAACGGTGCCATTAAATATCTCGTAAACAATTAGCCATCTGCACCTAAAAATCATGTATCACTGACCTCAGTACTTCAAGCTCGGTCACCCTGCACAATATAGACGGGCCATTTGGGGTATTTCACCGACATTCATTAGCCGTTGGATCGCAAAATCGGGGTCACTTTTGACCCATGTCACGTTCACCATTTACCTGGCTGTGAGACATTCCGTCAGCGAACGGTTGATCGAACACCCATAACAATACGCGATTCGGTGCATCGTAGACAACCCGGGGAGCATTGCACGGAGATTTTCCCTGCCGCGAGTGTCGCTCGAAAGATGTCGGTAGTTACGGGGAATTTCGTGACTTCGTTTTATTGAGAAAAGAACCGACTGGTTTCTTCGAACGCGAATAAGTCGTTGAAAGCCGATAAAACAGAAGGGAGGATGACAGTTCGGTGGAGGCGCGCTCGATCTCGTCTAATCTGTATCGATGAAACACGCCGTACCTCGTAACCCTTCTCCTTATTCAGGGGGTTAATAAGAGGGACCGAGTGAACATCGTGCTTTCAGTCGGCGCGCAGCGTGTACAGCTACGTATACCGGGCACACGTTCTTAAACGTTCACGATCGGTCTTGTCGCACAGGAAACAGTACTCCAAACAGTTTATTCCAACCCGGTCTGGCCAATCGTTTGAACGGCTTGTGAACCATGTCCGCGGTCACAGTTTCGCGGGTATAAACGCCGGGAACCAGTGTGAACATATCGAACCACGTACGATGGATAAACTGGTGTTTTTGGTGCTACTTGTTTGTTCAGTGGCGCTTTTTCGTTCCTCCGCGGGAAACTCTACGGTTTATCGGTAAATGATATATACATATATACAATTGAACGGCGACAGTACTGTCCGGTCTTATCGTTCAAGTTAGATGACTATTAGATTATTTACGACGTATATAAAACGCGATCGAATAATTATCAGAAAGGTCGCAGCTATTTTTGCTCTATAGAGAGTTGCTGTTTAATTTTGGAGTATGTTAATTGGTCTGTCAGAAAGCGAATTCCCATTAGAATTGGCGATTTTGATGTTGGAGTGGAGGAAGTTCGACTGTTGATCGGTAATTGATGCTTGAGGCACTATCGCATCGTGTTAGCGTACCTTTTATTTTTTTTGCATTCACACAGTTACTTAATAACAAATCGACATTTTATCGAAGTTTAGCTGTTGATAAGTTGTGAAAATATTATGGTTGGATGTATCTTGTAGCAAGTGGTATATCGAATACATTCAAAACCAATATTGATCAAGAGTTCAACCCTAATCAAATTTGTAAAACGTGGATGGACGCTAGCAATTGTCAACGGTTTGCAATATTCAACCGAGTTGGACACACTTTTTATCAAGGGTTTAACAAAATCTATGTAAATCGCAAGACAAGTACATACCAGGGGTGCTTCATTGTCGATCACGAAAGCGTTTAGTGAAATTGATCGGTTTCGTGGAAACAGAACGGACGATGGACAAGTGCTGATTCCCGGTCTGCTTTCAGGGGATACATATTCACGGCGCCGAAAATATTTCTAGCCGGTGAGATCGAGCGTGGATGTCTGTCTTTGCACAATTTAGAGCCACCGGCCGTTGTTACGCTCGATCTATTGTCGCCGTCGACGGTCAAGGAAACGCAAGTGTTGTCGACTAACACCACCGTCCTGAAAACAGGTAGTTATAGATTAATTATACCCAGCAGCGAAAGAAACGATCGAAAATCGGACATCAAAAATAGTGAAATTGAATCTGATCAACACCGTGGGTAAAGAATGTCCGATCCACAGGTCATGAACACCTGCGTATTAATTGCTAAATTGTGAAACTACAATAAATTTTTATACAATACTGTAAATTGCTGTAATTAATTATTAAGAAAATGTTTATGAATCGAAAATTACCGTTGACATTAATATTGTTCATTGAATAACAATTAAAATTTTCTTCGAATTGATTATCGATGAAAAGCTAGTACGCAAATGATTTCCAACGCCTAATATTTTTGTTGTACCAGCGAAAATTAATTGTTATAGTCGCAGTTTCTCTATCCTTCTCCGTTGAATCTAGACCTTTGACCTCTTGTTGTGTACATAATGAATGGGTGTCCTTTACATCTTGTTTCGTCGGTATCGCTTCGATAAGAGGTTCCCAGAAATAATATGCACGTGGTATTTTATTCTCGGGATTTATCTTAATTCATGTCGCTTTAAATCTCAGTTCTATTACACCAACTGCTGTTTAATAGTGTTGAATGCGAAGTAAATGAGTTTGTTTAGCATCAATTCGATGTACGCTGCTTTGTTAACTTCGATGTCTGGACACTTCTATGTGTTGCGACATGGGCTTCGAATACTTTGGAAAGATCACGACGAAACGGATGCTGGAATCACCATTTTCCACATTTTCGTTTTTCGTTCCTCGCATCCGTCGATCATTTTCGTCTCGTGTCGGGCTCTTTAAACAAATCGTAAATTGAAATTGTCGTCGCTTCCTGTGGGGGAACTGAATTGGTCGACTCCCTCGCTGGAGGGGAAATAAGCAATCGCTGGAATACATGGGAAACCCATTTATATTGTTATATACGGGGTGAACAACGAAGATTGGTCGTTTAACTCTCTCAAGGTCCGAGTTCGCTCAACAAATATATTCGATGTATCAATGTCTTAGGATCCCGTGAACACGCTGTATACAAAATAATCGGTGTTAAGTCGCATACTCACCAACAGGGCCGTTCCTAGCGGGGGTGCAAAAGGTGCCGGGGGTGCAAAGGTTCTTAAGAATCTTTGTATCATTTTACGAAAATAACAATTAAAAAATATTCCTTTTGCATGATAAGTGCTGAAAAAAAACTATGTAATATGTGTATAGATATGAAGGTAAACACTGCACATCGAATTCTTGAATAAATAATATTAAATTTATTGGAAATGGGTTAAGTTACATCATTTCTGTCCGTTTTCTGAAGCAGCTCAAAGTGAGACCGTAACCTTCATAATCTTCTAATACGTAGGTAATTGTCGGAATAACAATCAGCTAAATCGACGTATGGTTAGATGGTCTTCTTGGTATCAATTTATCAATTAGGGACATCCTTTTGAGTGAATGCAGTTATGTTGATGCATCGTGAGGGGAAGATCGTTACGTCTCTATCAGATACCAATCCCAGACATCATAAAAATATATTCCAATCAAGACTATAATTATCAGAAAAGTTATCTAAGAAAAGTTCTATGTAAAAATTGGGAGTGACGTCAATCTATCTTGAAGAAATAAGAAAAATTGTTTGATATTCAGAAACCAAGTCATCAGCATCAGAATCTAAAGAAGAGATTAAGTAGAAATTGAAATTAATAAAGGATATATTGTCTCTCACATTTGCATTTGTATATTTTTTTTATCATTGAATTATTGATTCTACTTATTTTTGAAATATTTTTCAACAGGTGTGGAAGCATGCTTGGAATTAATGGTACCATCAACGGAGTATACACTGGCAAGGCTACGACTGATAATAAAGATCGATCATCAGAATTACAAGATCGAGTCTGAGAAACAAATTCATATCCAGCACAACTCTTTAATAACTTTTGTGGAAACTGACAAGCCAGTGTACAAACCGGGCCAAGATGTTAACATCAGGATTCTCATGCTTAAGCACGATTTGAAACCTTGGAGGGAAACGGTAAGTCCATCCATCACCGTTTAAGTATACATATGTATACAATTACCGAATAGGGCTTGGCAGCGCGTCTGGTCATTGCTGTCCGCTTCTACTTATTGTCAGCACGCAATAATGACTTAACGGTACATTTTATGAAAATTTTGAGGCATGAAAGGTACGTGCTTTTTTTGTGGCTGGAGGCATTTTTGAGATTTCAAAACCACCGTGATTTTTTTAACGGAATGATCTATTTTTTGCACCATAGATCGATAAAGTATCAAATTCTGTTTAAACATGTGTCGACCTTCATACGTCCTAAACCTAATAGTTAATGAGATATTTATTAGTGCATTGGCCTATCATCTGAAAATTGGCATATTCGCACACCTGAGTTTTTCAATTCATTTGAATGGGGGAGGATCTATTTTATTACCTTAATATTAAAAGCAAAAACATATTTGAAACACTTAAATGTACATTGTCGTTCACAGATTCCGAAAGTTTGGATTGAAAATCCATCGGAGGTGAAGGTAGCGCAATGGACGAACGTGAATACGGAAAATGGTATGGCGCAATTGGTGTTTCCTTTATCGCCGGAACAGAACTCGGTAAGAAAATAAATAAGTGATATAATCGTTTTATATAATCACTTAAGAATTGAACACATTTTACTAGCTCCTTTAATATTAGGCTTGTATATCGAATAAATACTAAAATAATGTTCGTTACATCCGACAGGGTACATGGAAGATCAGAGTACTAAAGAAGATGTCGCAGGCAATATCCACGACTATGTTCGAAGTAAAGACATACGTTCTACCAAGATTTCAAGTAACGATCAAGTCACCGGGATATATTTTAGCTGACGCGGACAATGTGACTTGGACCGTTTGTGCTAAGTAATTATCTGAATTTCATCACTGCCTTTCAGTATTTACTGCATTATTTCAATTTAATATATGATAGTTTCTAATAGAAACTAAATAATTTTGTACAATTAAAAGATAATAATATTACAGATACAGTTACGGTAAAGCGGTTAAAGGAACTTTACTACTGAAGTCGACCCCGCAAATACCAAGTTGGAAAAGAAAGCTTAATCTACCGGAAGTAAATTACGAGACAAAAGTAAATAATATCCTCTTTATTCTCGATACGTCTCGTAAGCTTGTTGGATATTAAAGTTCAGACTGCAGAGATTTCTTTATTGATAACCAATTATTTTAGCTGGACTCGCCTGACGGATGCACCGATTTTGTAGTTTCTGGGTCGGATCTCGGTCTGGATTGCTGGAAAGTGACCCCTAATAATATCGTCCTTATCGTCAATTTCACGGAAGCTGGAACCGGCGTAGTAGAAACAACGATCAGTCAGACAATAGTTATGCATCAAGCCTTGAATCTTGAGTTCGTCCCTTACACACCCAAGTACTTTAAATTGGGCTTGCCTTACCATGGAAAGGTATTTTCATTTTTATTCAGTAGACTGAATTTTAGCAACTTTCAGAATCGTAAATTAATTACGTGTATTTATGATTATTTTAACATTGATGTCTTTTTCATCTATTAAGGTAATAAAGAAATCTGGTATTTTATGGTTTTATAGTTATAAATAGACTGCGGATTTTTATGCAAATATACATTTTTATTTGTTAATAGATAGAAATTGGAAACCAACAGAAAATTATTTACTTTAGTATGGGGTTTTCAGAGTCCAAATAAAATAAACATTTCGTCAAACTATATTATATTTCTCGTTGTACTGACTTTTAGACAATTGGATCTTCTATAAATGTATAAAATTCGCAGTCTAGTTATAATGGTTAAATAGTATATCAATATTAATGGTATCCTGGGAAAAAAAAGTATTCAAATGTTCGACCCAAAATATCAGTGATCTTAACATTACTGGAAAGATTTTTTCATTTAATATATGAATGTATGAAATGTAGTTTTCGCATTTCGAATACTTTCTGTGAAAATAAATACCAATTTTTTGGCGTTGTCGGCCACTAGTTGCGAGTTTTGCGCCAAGACGATACACCGGCCCCAAATGAGAAAATTCAAGTTTGTCTGCAAGTACTCAGAAAGGAGGAGTTGCTTCGAGTTGTCGTGGAGTGTCGCAACTTCCGGTCATCCGCCGACGGTTTCGTTGATTTCGTTGTTCCTCCGCCCCATAAAGATATTCTTGTGTTGAGCTTCATCGCCACCGCTGTCCACTACCCCACGAAATATTACTCGCCGGACACACGGTGGAGAGTGAGTATTAGAATTTATTATTTTAAAGAAAACTATCCTACTATGTATACATATTGTTACCATCCATTAAACCTATCGCAGTACATAGAGAACCATGAAAACAGCGTTAAATTCTATGCACGAAAGTAATGTCTTCAATTTTCAGTCTTTGGGTTGATGCATAAATAATAGGAATATAACCATATGAAAGCAAAACTTTTCATTTAAATGTGAAAACAATTTATTTAAAATTTGCCCTGACTGTCACGTGTGTGCAAATAGGTTAAACTGGGAATATCTACAATGTACGGTTAGGGATGGATAATCAACCCGTTCAAACATCTTTGAACTCCTGACGAGACGTTCAAATTGTTCAAACAGTGTTCGGTCGTTTTAAACTTTTGAAACAGTTGAAAAGTTTGAAACGTTTGAACTGTTTGGAACGTTCGAAGACTGTTTGAACGTCTTGTATATGAACATGTCCGCATATGTTTGAAACGAGTGAACACTATTTGAACTATTTGACCATCTTCTGTTTGAAAATGTCCATATATGTTTGGAGTGACTGTTCACGGACCGATCACTGCGTACGATACTGTTTAACATTACGATTGAGTGTTCTGTTTACCAATGAAAATATTAATCAAACTTCTGTCAGGTATTCATGAACCAACCTTCGGCGCATATCGACGTGAATCCTTGGTACTCACCTTCCGACAGTTACTTGGCTGTAGCCAGAGGGAATCAGCCAATTGTATGCGGTGAAAAATACTCGTTTAACGTGATGTACACGATCTCAGCAAACAGCAACACCAACAAGTCAATATCGTTCCACTACTCAATCAACTCGAAAGGAGATCTCTTAATACACGGCCACGTGAAGCACAAGCCTAGCCGTGACACTGTATTAAACTACTCGGAATTCCGTAACCTGTTGGGTGCAACTGATTCTGCAGCAAACAAAACTGAGCAGAGCTCCGTTGTACACAGGTATACACTTTTTCTAAACAATTTTTTTAATTTCGTACTTTTTAGTGTAGGGAGTATTACTAGTGGGTCAAGGGGTTAACGTAAGATCGTTTTCATTATCATTAGTTTAGCAGTAACCATAAAGAACAAATCAGACAGAACTACTTTGGATTATTTGGAATCCATCCTGTGAAAGTGTCCCACATTTTTATTAACATCCTGTCTATTATTGAAAAAGAAGGAAAATAAGTGTCCACAAGTGTTGTGTACAAACTAATAATTATCCTTTTTCAAAATTAGATTTCCATTAAGCGTGAAAGTCACACCGAGCATGGCTCCAGTCTCGGAACTGTTACTTTACTATGTGCAAGCGGACGGTGAGGTTATCACAGCTTCGTACACGATCGAGGTCGGTCACTGTTTTGGGAACAAAGTGAAAAGTGCATGGCACACGGACGTTCAGACGCCTGGAGCGAGCACGCAGTATCACGTGGAGGCTGCTCCTTGGTCGTTATGCGGCATCTCCGCCGTCGACAAGTCAACCCGCTTCTTGGCGGGATCGAAGAAGAATTTGCTCGATGCTAGTCAGACATTCGACGAATTGAAGAGGTTCCATTCGATATCGGAACACGACTCGTCATGGAATTATTGCAAAAGTATGTTTTTGACCGTCACGTCACACAGTGGTTCAAAATTCGAAAATCCCATAATTGCTGTACAGGAACAAACATTTTCTTTCTTACACATTTTCTCGTATCGTTAAAAACAACGGAGATATTTTAGGTAAAAGTGTTAAGTGACTCACGCTGTGTACTTTTTCATCGTACAGTAGACTCACGTTAAAGTAGCGGTGCGGTGCTCTCGAGGCGGGTTTTTCCTGGAAACGCTACTTTAACGTGAGCCAATGGGCTCCCAGGATCTCCTGATAGTTTGGTCGATCCACCACTTAGATCAGAACTTTGGTGTGTGAGTAATATGTGTGAGCTGGGGCGTTCTAACCGCTACTTTAACGCGAGTCTAGTGTACTGCTTTGAATGAGGCTCGAACTCCGTATCTCTCTCCAAACTGTTGTTTCGGCGCTCGAAATATGTCTGTCGAATTTCCTCGTGGGTCACGATTGACCCGGCCGCCGGTTTTGACGGTTCATAATCCAGAGTCCGTATTCCAATTAATACATAAAAATCTGAACTTCACAGTGACAGGATCAACAGGGCCACGGATGGAAGAGATTGCTCATCTGCCGAGTCCATTCTGGAATATGCAGAAAAAAAACAAAGTCATCTTAGAGAAACGAAAAAGACATCTGCCGATCTATAACATAGATGTCAACTACGTGGACGCTTTTCAAGCTTTCCTGGTAAGACGCACTTCGTGAGTTCTGTAAATTTTTGTACGCTGTAAAGCTAAACGTCCAATGATGTACACTTATAAGTATTAGGACCACTTCGACAGAAATGATGTTTAAGGGATATTGAAGCTCGATGGACTAAAGGTGGTTCCCCTGTTAATTGAGTTTGAAATTTGGCCGGAATTATATTAAAAGAAGCCAGTATCGAAAAAATGGTATTCTACTATGTATTTTCAACTTATATTTTTATGTAAAATTACCGCCGTTCTGTTTGTTCCACCAATTACGAGACACGTGTATATTTGAAAAATTCGTGTATTGAATAGTCTATACATTTTTAATGGTATGTGCCATTTAATGACTTCTCATTTCCACCATAGGATTTCGGAGTAGTGGTAATGAGCGACCTGTTGCAAAAGATACGACCTTGTGAGACGTATGCGAAAGATTCCATATATCTAAAGCACAATTATAGGGATCGACAGATTAAAACTATGGATGAGACTGGCAAGTATACGATATATATTTTTTCACTAATCATTTGTCATTCATAATATGACCAGGATACGATAAATCTCAATCTATCCAACGATTACGTGCACTACCGCATAAACGTTTGGAACAATTTATGATATTTAGTGCTTTTAAAAAAATACAGCGTAACATAATTTGGTGTTTTGTACTATTGACTATATATTTACATTTTATAATACCTCTACATACGAATACAACGATGTTATAACGATACAACGAACATTCACATATCGTTCCTCCATTAGATACGTTTAAATCACTACAACCTGTTGCTGTTCCCTTGATAAACTTCGATTCCCATGAGTCAGTGGGACCGGAAGTGGATTATTACGTTGATCAATTGCCCGATCAGACTGCCATATTGCGATCATACTTTCCTGAAACGTGGTTATGGGAATTAGTACCTACTGGGTATGGATTAATTATTTTTTGACCGGAATAAAATCGTCTATGTATGAATAGTATATTTATACTTATCAACTTCACTAAACTTCCTCTGTTGGCCTTTATAATAGGTTTTAGTACTCTGTGTTATACAAAGTAGAAATACAAAGTTTTGTATGCTAATTGTCTATGTAAATTCACAATTTTCGATTTACTGATTCATAAAAATCAAAGATAAAAAGAACATTCAAACCTGTACTAGGAACTTTTCCACTTAAATAATTACACAGAAATAGTAAGAAAATTTCTTAAAACCTTTAATTTATTGTATTTTGAAAGTTAACAAATGCTATAATTGAATAAGCTCCGCAATTTGGTGATAATGTAGCCTGAATAAGTATTGGCTGATCGTGTATTACATTCTTCCTTATAGGAGAGAAGGTAAAGTTACAATAGAACGCACCCTTCCGCACACCATCACCGATTGGATCGGTTACACGACGTGCATATCACCGATACACGGCCTCGGAATAGCACCACCGATCACCATAACGGCGTTCCAGCCGTTCTTCCTCGATTATACTCTGCCCTACAGCGTGAAACGTGGCGAAATGTTGCATATGAAAGTGTCCTTGTTCAATTACATGGAACACCGATTACCTGTAAGTTGCACAAAATTAAACCATGGATGTATACAGGGTGTCACAGCTAACTTGATCACCTTGAATAATGACTTAACGGTACACTTTATAAAAATTTTGAGGCATGAAACTTAAATGACATTAATGGGCACTTCTTATAAGGCACGTGCTCTTTGTGGGTGTATCCACATAAGAATAAATCATAACTGACGTATAATTTAAGAATGAAACAATAAATTGTAAAATGCAATTAAATCAATAAAAAATACATAATTATTAATAAATGACATTTATATATAACGTTTTTGTTTCACAGGTGAAAATTAAATTAGAAGAGGCAACAGGGCTCGATCTACATTTGTCGCTCCCTGTGGCTTCGTTCTGCGTTAAACCACGGGACAGCGTCGTCCACGAGTACATCCTCAGACCACGGGTCATCGGGGAAGTGAACATTACAGTGTCCGCTTCCATAGATCCTGATTTCGTCGATCCATGTGGTCCGGAAACCTTGATCTTCACACGGTAATTATTTGGCTTGAGAATAGAGCACCAAAGCACTTGTTTACTTTCGGGTTAAATCGATCTAAACAGTGCAAGTGTGTCAAAATAATACAACACTAGTCGGCTAACAAGGGAACCTCGACAACTCGAAAATACCGATTTTTTTTTCAAATTTTGTAGATCTGTAGCAAAAAAAATTGCCTGATACTTCTACCGAGGTTACTTGGAAACCTGCAAAGTTTTCAAACAAAAAAATTAAAATTTTCATGTTATCGAAGTTCCTTTGTAAGTAAGCACAAGTATCCATGAATGTACATTTTTATTTTCAAGAGACGTCATCGTGAAGCCAATTCTCATTCTACCAGAGGGTTACCCAGTCGAGGTGACAAAATCGGCGTTCGTCTGCCCGAAGGACTTCAGCGATGACTCCACTGTCGTTTGGGATCTGATATTACCGGAGAACGTGGTACCGGACAGCTCCAGGGCCTACGTAACTATCGTAGGTGACGTTCTGGGCCCGGCTCTCGAGAACTTGGACAAGCTTGTACGGCTGCCAATCGGTTGCGGGGAACAAAACATGATCCTCTTTGTTCCGAATATTCACGTGATCAGATATTTGGACGCGGTTGGCATCGAGAATCCCGCTCTGAAAGCGAAAGCGATTAAGAACATGGAGAAAGGTAATGCTTAATCCTGTTTCACTAATCCGAAACGTTCGGAGAATGTTGCCGATTGAACCAGCGTTAATCGATGCCGTCTTTTGTCAAACGAAGGATATCAGAGGGAGCTGAATTTTAGACATTCAGACGGTTCCTATGCCGCGTTTGGGCTGCGCACCACGAACGACGAGAGCTCCATATGGCTGACCACGTTTGTATTGAAGTCGTTCGTCCAGGCCCGAGGTCTTATTCACATCGACGAGCACGACCTTAGCTTGACTGCCCACTGGATCATGAAGAAACAACTGGAAAACGGCTGCTTCCCCGTAGTCGGAAGAGTCTTCCACAAAGAGATGAAGGCGAATACACATTTCTGGACCCCGGAGTCAGAGTGCATTAAGTCAGACTGTTCAAACTTTAGAGGAAAGTAAATGAAATATGGAAAAACCTTGTAACTTTGAAACCATCCGGTAAGAGTTCAACATGAAACAATCGATACCTTCGAAATATTGAGTGGACTTAATACACTTTGGCTCTGGGGTCCAGATTTATATAGATTAATAATATAAGGTTGTACAAACTCCTTGAGTGCATCCTCTTTATCTGTAAGTAATTTTAAAATGTCGTATCTTGGAAATAAAGCTTTTATGGGTCTATGTTTTTATGATAGGTCTTTATGGTTCCGATGTGTGAAATATATTCTTAATGTTTGACTTACTATATGTTTGCATTACAGGGTGGCCTTCTGGACGACAATTCATCGTCAGCGTTAACGGCGTACATTTTTATCTCCCTGATCGAATCTAAAGTACCTTTGTGGGCACATGTTGTCTCCAAAGCCTTGAATTGCTTGGAAAACGGAATGGCTAATACGAACGAGGATTTATACACTGCGATTCTCACCACGTACGCGTTAGTTTTGGTTGAACATCCGAAAGCAAATTCCAGCATGCAGTTGCTCATGGATCGTGCCACACGTCACAATGTACGTACAAACAAGTTACACGATATAATAACTATAAATATTTGCATTTTACATTATCTTATTAACCTGAATAAAAGCCACAAAATGAAACGTGCACTATTACTAAAACCTCGATTATTGGTGGAAAATGAATGATTTTCAGAACCTGCTGTGGTGGGAGGACAAATCCAAACCCTCGATTACTCTAAGCATCGAAATGACAGCGTACGTTGTCCTAGCGTTAGTAAAATTGGGCGGCGAGGAGAATATGGTTCATGCTTTGAAAGCTGTACGTTGGATGTCAAAGCAGCGAAACTCCGAGGGCGGATTCACGTCTACGCAGGACACGGTCCTCGCCTTGGAGGCCCTAACGAAATACGCGGCCGCTATGAACAGCAGGAATACCGAATTCTCTATCCTCGTGACAGCAACGGATGTGGATTACCTGTACAAAATGACCAATGACAACCGTATGGTCCTCAATCAAATTTCTTTACCCGTTCTGCCGACCATCGTCGAGATTTTCGCGGAGGGGGAAGGCTGCGTGCTGGTGCAGGTGAGATGGAACATTCAATCATTTACACACAGTGATTATAAACTGGAATCGCGTATTTTCTAATCCTTCAGTGTAACAAAACGTTCCGGAAAACATTTATCCGGCGTCCCTCTAATTCTTAATTTTATCTCCGTTAGTTTCTAAACTGAGAAAACTGAGTCAACTGAGACAAATTCTATCAGACCGATTTAACTATCGAGTGAACAAGATTTCGTCATTTTCATATGGAATACAAATTTTCTATTTATTGCTTTCCAATTTAGAGTAACATTAAATACAACGTTGCACATGCTACCGGTTCAGATGCGTTCGATCTTGCGGTGTCTGCTCATTCGGTGGCGTACGAGAACGAATGTTCCGTGCAAGAAATTACGGTCTGCGCCCGCTACAAGATGGCGGACGAGGAAAGTAACATGGTTCTACTTGAAATTGGAATGATAAGCGGCTACGCGCCAGAACGAACAAGCTTGTATTCGTTATTAAGAGATCCATCGACAAGTAAGTTAACTTATTCTTTATTTCAATAAACAAAAACTAAAATATAGAATATTCCATTGAAATTGTTCAATAACAAATTATCCGGATGTTATTCAAATTCTTTATTGTGACATTTTGTCGTAATTCTAATAATTCTTAATTATATTTCGTTCCCCTTTTTCTCCGTTGTTGTTTTTTTTAATTTTGTAACATAGCTTGTGTCTATGTAATACCTTCGGACACTACCATCGAATTATCTCGCCGAAATTCGGTTGGTTAATAATCGTAATCAATATTAAAACGTGAATTATAGAAGTGAAGCGTTTCGAAGAAGGCCAAGATACCGTTACAATTTACTTCGACAAATTAACTGGTCAGAAGACCTGCATTTCGTTCAAAGTGATGAGGGAAACCGTCGTCGATCGTCTGGAGCCAGCGAACGTGAAACTTTATGATTATTATGACCAGGAATTAACAGTGTCCGGCGTAAGTTTAAGCATACACAATCAATCAGAAAATATCGGATGTTTTTCGTAACATTTAGTTTCCATCCGTGTATTTCATTGTGAAAACATTTGATATATTTTCAAAGTACTACATTATTATAGTTCAATCCGATCAAACTGCAAAATGTTCATCGATGTTATACAACTCAATTTTCTGAAAGTCGGTAAAATGATCTTAAGCAAAATGTCAACGCCCTTACCCAGATAGTACACCGGTTTAAGTCCCTGGACAAAAGTACGCAAAGACTTACGAAACTACATCCGGCAGATATTAAAACTAATATAACAATGGTAAAGACGAACGTAATATTTCCAGAGCTACAATTTCGCTCCAACTTGTAGCAGCGCGGAACCCACCGAGGAACAATCGACTCCGAGTGTGATGCCGGAAGTGAAATTGCTGAAGAACGATTTGTCGGTCAACAAGCTGCTCCTGTCGCAAGAAACATTCCAAGATAATAAACCGATAGAAAAATCGTCGAAGAGCATGGCGACAGAAGATGCAAGCGATAGCAGTACGACGAACAACAGAAACAACGAGGCAAATAGCAAATCTACGTCTTCGAGAGGACCAGATTTGAGAAGCAAAGTTCAAGACGACGCAGCGAACAGGAGAGACAAGCTGAGGGATAAAATTGAAGAAGCATTGATTACAGGAATGCGACCAAAGACTGACAATGTGCCATTCGTTGAAAACTCAAATCTAAAAATCAATGAGGATGACTTGGACGCTGTCTCGCATATACGAACGACCAACGACAGCGGCAAGGTCGATCATTCAAGCAGTGAGTAGATAAAATATGCATTATTAAAGGGGTATTCGCTCGACGTAAAATTTAAATAATGTTTTGTATAATTAATTTATTATTTAACTTTATACATTAAATAAAAATATACGTACTGAGCAGAAATCGGGACTTGATTAGAAATAGGGTCATTGATCTTAGTAGTAGTGCCACAAACAGTAGAATATTCCGCGCACACGTGACCCATTCGTCAAAAGTGTTGCCATACCGAAAGGGTTAAAAAATACAATTTAAAAAGTCGATTTTCTCGACCTGTTACTTAACCGTTAACCACGTTTGCACTCCCAATTCTTTTGAAAGTTTCTTTCCAATAACTCCCTATTTCTTTTGGTGTTTTATTCTAAATGTACTTCAGAAGATAGATGGTTGATAGGAAGCAATTAAATAAATATGTTTCAATAATTATAAACAGCATTGGAATTTTGCTAAATATGTCGAGTATGATTCATTAATATTCCCAATACATTTTACGTGCACATAATTGTGACAAAGTTCTGTTAGCTCCACAGGTGGAATCTGGAAGTGGTTTAACCCCGGATGAATCGGACGGAAATCGAAATCTCAGTTTTGATACCGTCGACGCCAACGTAGGAACGTCAGACAATATAGAGAATCCATCTACGGTTTTTGCGAAAGAAATCGAGGACTCGGAATTTTCAGGGAACCCTTTCTTCGTTGTTGTCAGTCACGAATTGGAAACTCCGGAAGGAGTCGAAGGACCAGTCCCGGTTTACGTGAAACCTGATACGTTCGATTACAAAGCGGAAACCACCGTCAGTACCAATACTCTGCCGGATTCAGCATTGACGCCTCCGGTGGAGAATGAAAACACTTCACAGGTATACACATGAACTATTAGTATAAATCATTACATTATTAATTAATAATTGATATAATATAACTCAAATTTTTTTGTCCAAATTTGTTCTAACTCGACAGAATTTTTCATTCACTATGTATAATAAATCCTCGATGAGTGTTGGAGGGTTCCTTGGCACTGACAAGAAGTCCCCAAGTGTAACGCTGACTTTTTAATAAGGTTCAACACATAGAACTTGGAATTCTGAAGTTAATGATATTTGTTTCAGCCTCATATGGCTATTAGTTTGTGAAATATTTAATGTTCAATGCCGAGGAGCCTTCGAACACTTGTCGAGGATTTACTGTATAGGTCATTGGTGGTCATCATCACGAGTGTATTAGTGCTGAATTTTAACAAGTACAAATTTCTTTGGATACTAAACCTGTTTTCATTAAAAATAAATGAAAATTGAGAAAACTACAGATATACGAAGTTTCATAAAAATCGGAGGGGGACACTTCCGTGCCTTTCCTTGTTAGTTTCCAGTTTTTGTGAATTACTCTGCAAACACTATACTTTTCTAGGGGGAATTCGACAACCAAACCAAATACACCACACACAGCGACACGCAGATTTCGTGTAAGCGAATGTATTTTTACAATCTACACAACAGTTACACGGTACAATTATATTAGTATTTCCTCACATTACATTTGTTATTTTAGCGCCAACGAGAGTGAAACAGTATTGTCCTACGTGCTCCGACAAATTACCGTCGGATTTCAGCGATGTTTATTGCTCGGCGTACAGCGCGGTTAAAGTAGCAATCAGACGATTGCGAAAAGCAAGATTGTTGCTGGATCTGAATGCGTCCCGGGAAGTTCGACGTCTTCGTGCCACGATCGAGTTCACTATGGATCCAAGCTGTTCCTGTTTCCCGTTAGATTCCCGTACGTATTCCACCATATAACGTCCTCCACACCCATCACCCAATGGTACATTCGATGATAAACCACTATCGAATATCGACACGCACACACACACACACACACACACATATGTAAACGCGTAACGCTGTTTTACAATATTCTTTATAAAAAAATATTCCCTTGCAGCTGGAAGTTTGGCGTTAATCGTGAACAAGGACAACGACTTCCTTGCGTCCGGGGATCACAAACAGACACTGAACAATTCGTTTAATATATACGGTTTGCCGATCGTGACAGGAGTGCCGCCCGAAATCACGGAGGCACGGAGATTATCGTGTTCGTATCAAGAGGAGGATCGATCCCGTCTCACGGATCCTCCGGTCGGCGGTTGAACAAACCGTATGCCTTTTGTTTTTTTTTCCTTTTTTTATTTATACATTTAATACGCAAATAACACTGAAAACTATAATTACGTTTTACGAGAACGCCAGCAGGTGGAGTGACGATGAAGAATATTCATTTGGAAACTTATCGGCCTCGCTCATCTGTAAATCTCGATCCATAAGCGATACGCTATTTGCAAACTTCGCGCAGGGTATATACATAATTTCTTTTTCTTTTCTGTTTTTTTCTTTTTTGTATCTACAAACATTGCAATTCTATATGATTAACGGTAGGATAAGCTGTCGCGTGGCACGCGTGGAAATATTAAAAAAACAGTCATCACCCTCGTTTCTTTTTTCTCCATTGACTCGATGAAACTGTAAATAAATACAAAACGCTTTCGATGTAATTAATCCAGCTGACTTACTTCTTCTTGTACTGACGAGAGAAAGAGAGAGAGAGAGAAAGAGAGAGAGAGAGAGAGAGAGAGAGAGAGAGCACGTAAGAAAGCGAATATATCGTGTTTTGTGTTGCACTTTTTATTTATTTTCTTTGTATCTGATCGCTACTGAAATAATTATTACAAATTAACAATCACCTTTCGAACTGTACTACATTAAATATTATTTTATTACAATGAATTTACGATTATTTATTTTATTATTACGGCTTTCGTTATTTTTTTTTTATTTCACCTATTTTATGCTAAGTGTTTTGTCATTTAATGCTGATCTGAATTCGTTTAATATTTCGTAACTACGGAGCAATATTCATAACGTTCGAGAATAACAATTTTTCTTTTTTATTACTCTTCTCTATCTACCACGAACACTCATGTGTGTATGTGTACGTATGTATGTATGTGTACATATGCATATATATATATGTATATATCTGGAACGTATTTTTTTTTTCTTTCAGCATTAAATATCAAATCGCAATCCTCTCTGGAAGTATTACTATTTACTCACGTTGTACACAGTGAAATGCTTGCTCGAAATAAATAGACTATTATTGGTTGCTAGAAACTACTCGACGCGACGCTCCACTAAAGTAACGCAAAACCTAACTGCAATCACCAGGAATGAAAAAAGAACACGTACAGTGTTTATATGAGTTGGCAGTAGCATTTTGATCAGTTCAGTTAGCGTCGTCCGAGATTTCGATAGTAATCGTTCTAACAGGTATCTCGGCGGTGCAATACATCATCCGCACGAATAAATAACATACGTATGCCTCAAGATATTGGAATTCCATCGCGATCGATTCACTTAAAACGGAAAGAGGACGAATACGCTTAATAATACTTTGTTACATTAGGATCGTTATTCGCATAACCTTGTTAATATTCGCCGATTTTTCGGAACACACACATACAAATTTTATTTTAACATTTACCGAATATTGGAACAGCATCGCCCAGACAGAACACAAGTATGTACACTGGGACAAATTGTTCAGCCAGTATGGCGGCAACAGCCGATCAGACGTTGGGTAATTAAATGATCAGATAAATGCATCTCGTTACAAAGTATCGCAACAGTACCCTTACTAATAAGTACTAATATTATAAAATAGTATTGTACATGTTATAGAAACATTAAAAAAAGAAGGCAGCAATATGAAAATTCAGATATGTACCATCAATATGTTTTGCAGATGAAATGTTGGTCAGTGAAAAGATTCTAAATGGAAGTCTGTAGCATTGACCATAGACATTTTCCTTTACAATTGGAAATAAAAATTGGTGCATTTTAGAAAAAACTACATTAAACTAGCTAAAAATTTCTGATATGATTAAAGTCTTCTCAAAGTTACTATTGAAAATGTAATACTAATAAAGTACTAATACTGTAAGGCAATACAATATTACAACAGTAAATAAATATTAATATGTAAAACTACGTTCCACCTGGGCTGTAATGATCATATTATTTATGTTTAATTTTGCAATACCAAGAATGATTGTATCATTGTACGATACACTATTATAAAATGTTCACAAGGAATATACGAAAAACAAAGACAGCTTGAAATAAAGACAAATAATGCTTGTGCGTTTCGTACGAAAATGAAAGACAGGTAATGCAGGAAACAAATTAGTAACTACATGTAAAATAACGATATATTATTAAGACACGAGCTCTATATTAAATTATACGCGGATTTTGTATTTCTATTTTTTTTTCTTTTCTTTTTATGATTAGTAAAATATAAAATATTAAAACATTACTATGGTATTGTTAAATCAGTCAAGCTTCCCGAAAAATTGGCAAGCATCGGGCATTAGTATAATTATACATATATCAACTCAATCCAGGCAGAGTTGAAATAATATATATTAATACATACTACTTTAATACACTTCATAAATATATATTACTTGAATCTTATTAATTATAAAATACTACAATGTAATAAGATCAGACTCTAATAGAATAATTAAGATAAGTCGTCTCATTCTCGCTTCGATTTAATTTATATATTATAATATGCACTAAAGTATTGTATATAAAGGATGGATTTAATATAGAGCTTGCCTCTTCTATGCAATTATTAATATAAAACCAATAATGGTGTTAAAGAATTCATATAAAACAAGTCACTTTGCTCCTATACTTTCGATGTTAGTGCACTTAAATGCAAAGAAGTCAATCTATACTGATTCTAATTATCAAATGTACGTTTGTAAATGTACATACAAGATCACCATGTGACAAATGCCACTTTATTTGGCGACATAAATACGTTTATTGTATCCGATGACCAGTGATTGTTATAACAATCATGAATGCAACTTAAATGCATCAGAGATAATAGAGGAACTTACGTGAACATCAGTATTATAGTAATTTAATAGATTTTAGGTGCCGAACGATCATTAATCGGTCCGGTAGTCTTTCTTAAAGAGGTCCCCCTTCGTATTTGATCCATAAGAGAGTCCCGAACTTGTAAAGGGTCTATAATAGGTACACGATTACCCATAATACGTCTCACGCTTGCTGATTTACTCGACATATTATTCCCTTGCATGTTTTGTTGCTGTTGCGCTAATTTCGCGTTTAAAGTTTCAAGAAAACCGGATGACGTTTTCGTAGCTTTCGTTATCTGCTGCTCAACCGAATGCTTTCTTGAAGACTTAGGACTGCTGCTGGTATTATTACTACCCGCGGTATTGTTACCTGTTGTACTGTTAATAAGTTTAGCACTTAGTACCGCCATAAAGCTCTGACCTACTCCTCCTGGACCTTGACCTTGAATATTTAAACCCGTGCTGATTGTTGTTACTTGTGTGGTGGTCGATCCACGTTCTTGGGAAGTCGAGCGAATTGCTGCACACGATCGTTCGACAGAAGATCGAGTGACTTGTAACACGGCATTATGCTGTAACGTACCAGTCGGGATGTTATGGGACTGTGCCTGCCCAGTAGCCTTTCGCAGAAGAGAAGGACTAGCAGGGGTGTGGCGTAATTCTGTAAGGGTCCTCACTGTTTCTGACACAGAGACAGATCTGCAATACGAAATATATATATTGCGTTAAATCAGTGTTTCCCGTGCTACGTACACGTGTTTTGTCTCAGTAGGCGTTAAAAAATACTGTCCCCTACCGTTGAGGAGTAGGGCTGGCTGTAGGCGAGGAACCCTCTAATAAAAATGCTGGCGGAGGCGGCAGATTTTCAGCCTCGTCGCAGGTGTTATCAGTACGTTCATCGGTAGAACCTGACGTAGGATTACTGAATGTAGCAGTTATGATGGTGGATGTGCGTCTTGTAGGAGGAGGAGGTTTGCTTGCTTGTTGCACCGATCCTCTGCGAACGATCAAAGTAGACACAGCACCAGGTACGTTCCACGCGTTCTCATTTTGATTCTGAAGTGAATGAGAATGCGGTATTGTCGTTTGACTTCCATAGCCACTGCTGGACTCCACGCTAGACTCTGACGTTTGACTTCCACCATCTTTTTCCGCAACTTCCGTCTATAAATATTAAATGATGTAAATCGTTATAATAATTTACAGTACAAATTAATACTGCATACACATTACAATCTATACCTTTTCAGCCCCTGGCGCTGTTAACGATGCAGGAGGCGGAGGCAAAGGCAACTGCATTTCTTGAGCACGAGTTGCTGCTAGATTTGCTAATTCATGCATGTTTACGTACATTGGCTGCTGAAGCTGATGAGTTGCTAATTCTGTAATATACCAGAATGTTACACATGGTACTTTTAGAAGCAATATAAACCATAAAGAATTATATATGTACCTTTTGCTAAATGCGCTGGTAACGGTAATTTAGGTTTACCTCGGGGACTTCCGGGAGGCTCATTCTTTACCGGAACTGTTGGTCGTTCTAAACTGGAACATCTGTTCGGTATAGGAGGACGATTACTACCATTATTTCTACGCAATTGTACTCTGGATGCTTGTTGATTCGAGGAAGAACACGACGAGGAAGAAGAAACTGGAGAAGCTGGTTGACTATGGCAACAGCCTGTATTGTCTGGAGCTTGGAATGTATAAACGCTGAGAGCTGGTCGCTGATGCCCCTTCTCATAAGCTACAATAACAAGTAAAGACATTATGTATTAAAAGATACGAATTCGAATATTTCCAAATGTATGACTTAAACAGTGATTCTATTACCGGAAGAGATTGTATGTGGCCGTTCGTTGATCGAGTTCTGATTTTGCCTATCGCACTGAACCGAAGTTTCCTGTAAGTCAGGCCAAGTAGCAGTGGTTACTGGTCTTGTTGTTGTACAACCGGTATTTTTATTATTTTGAGAAGACACATTTGATACCTACGACAACACAGTTTAGCTTCAGCAACAAAACAGAGACGTTCATAGGGGAAGGCATTAAAATTCTATTTAGTGTTTCGAAAGTATAAAAGAGAATGCGAAACGCTAGCAGGCATCTAATTTCTAGCAACCTTACCTGATGTTCCGAAATCGGTTGTGTATACAATGTATCCTGCGAAGTGAAGCCAGAGTCACGGGAGCTACCGTTTATCAAGTGGCGGAGCGTCATCATACCACTGATGCTGGAGGGCCTGACACCGACAGACTACAACGAGTACAACATCGACTACCACATACGCTAAGCTGATGCCAAATGGCAGTACCATGCTGTAATCTACGAGCAACTACTTGCATGATATACAGGTGGTGCATAAATAGTGAAAGTAATATGCCCATGCATTACAAATGCTAATCATTTTTAATCGAATAACTAAGCATAGATAAAACGAATATAATATTGTTCTCGTATGTTTCTAAAATTTTTACCTGAGAAAGCGATCTATGCCAAGGATGTCCAGATGGGCTTGGATGACTTTTGCAAGAACCACTGCTGCTACTAGTTAAAGAACTGATTGAACACATTGAACTTTTTCTCGATCCAAGAGACAAGGAAGGACTGGAAGGAGGCGTGGCCAGTGACCATTGTGTTACGTCGCAACCTTTTATATCAGTTATCACTTGTTCCGAGGCAGGTGGTAAATGATGTGGAGAGGCGGCATGTCGTTGTAACTGATCGGAAACTTCTTGGAGGTGTGTCAGTTCCATTAGCATTGCAATTTCCTCGTCCTACACATTTTTGTACACATTGTTGTAAGCGTCATTGAGAAATTCAATTGTCAATTATCTATTAGGTTTTAAATTAAATTTGCGTTTCTTCACCATACTTGTTAGGGCGATTAAGAATATATAGGCAATTTTTCATTCTATATGTAGCTACGTCGAACAAGTGAACGAAGAATTGGCGGGGAGAGCGCGCGGGTGATTGGTGCTCGCTTACTACAGTATTCCTAGAAATTGGCTCCTTACAGCCCCAAACGCTGCAATAAACGAGCTTCTACTGTAACGGGTTTAAATTCCTCTATAAAAAAATCTGCACTTTTCGAATCGATGAATTCTTGTGTAACATTTTTAACACTGTCTCTTCAGATACATTTTCTATTATCTAAAAAATGCTGAAATGATCGAAAGAGATGATGATTCGATGAAGCAATATCAGGTGGATATGAAGGATGTAGTAACATTTCTCAATTAAATTCAGCTAACTTTCTCATGTGATTTTTGCAATGTGTGCTCATGAATTGTCCTGCAATAGTTCCTTTTTCTTTTAATTTCCGCAGAAACTGCACTTTTAAACTGTATACTAGCATAGGCTAAAACCAAATTACAGCCGAAAAGTATAATTATTGAACAATCCTGGAGAGGTTTTCCCTAAAGTCATAAACGCAAAGACATAGTTTACAACCTAATAGTAAACATATGCAACTTTACTAACAAGTACTGGTTTCAGAAATCTGGCAAGAAGACAGAATCTGCCTCTTTCTTCAAGCAGGGCTGCACGAACTGCTCTTCTTTCTGTTTCTTCTAAACTTAGGCGTTTTTCTTGAACAACAGCAGCAGAAGATTCTAGCATTCGATTTAATTCAACATCACTTGTCAAAGTTCCATGACATTGTGGTGGTGTCTGTCCATGCAAGTGTTGACCCTTGCGTGCTTTTTTCTTTTGTAACCTTAGTGTATCTGTAGATCGCTTTTTCAATTCAGTTCTTGCTTTCTTATATTCTGCAATTAATACAAAAGAAAATAGTATTATATCTGTAAACAATTTATGTAGTCAAATGATTATAATAATAAAATCTTCTACTGACCTTTGGCATGTTCCTTATCTAAATTTATTAAGGACCTCTTCCAATCTTCTAATTTTTCTTGAAGAGGTAACACCAAGCAATCCATAATAGCACTGACAAGAAAAAATTTATGTAAGAGACTGAGCAATGAAAATAAAAAAACTGTTATAGTATAACAAGAAACATTTACCTGGTAAAGGATTTCATTCGGGTCTCCACAGCTTTATGTCTAAGACATATTCGAGTTAAAGCAGTCCCAATTTCTTTTGTCGCACCTTAATTGCAAACAAATCTTTTTTTTATATGTACTTCTACAGAATAATAGACATGAAAAGTACACAATTTCTTTAAGTTAGACAATAAAAATAGATTTACAGAAATTTTCACTGTACTTCATATATTTCATTAAACCTCAACATTAAACAGTTATAAGTAGTTTACCTCTTGCATTAGTTGCAGCATCAGCAATTTTTTGAAAGGTTTCAAGGTATGCAGAAACAGCTAAAATAGCAGCCCTAAAATAAATAGAAACACAATTAAATATAATAAATTATATATAAATTCTAGACAAATTTTTAATGTTTTTTTCTTCTAAATAATTGATACTACTGCATAGTGTAAAGATATAATAGTTTTATGTATGTACAAGATAGTTCATCAATGGAATAATGAATAATACTAAATTACAACTGATGATATTATTACCTTAAACATGAATGTAATTTTGTTGCTTTTGAGATTAAATCTTCCCATAATGGTGCTCCATTCTAAAAACCAAACATTTTTTAACATATTCCTGCTTATAATATTATTTATCATATTTGTAATATTTTCTAGCATGGAAATATTATCAATTGATTTTGGTATGTTTTATTTTTTTAACTTTTGTTAAATGTATACTTTTCCTTAACTAAAGTTGCCTGATATCATAGAATTAAAACAATGCATAATGTATACAGATAATGCAATCACATACGCCTACCTATTTTTTATGATTAGATATTTTTACAAAGTTCATTGAAAAAGCAAATTAACATAATAGTAGAAAATATTATATAAACAACTAAAAATATATGATAAAAGATATCTGACTATTATTTATTTATATATTTTGTACCTAGTATTTACATGTAAATATAAACCATACCTAAATAAGACTTCAAAAATAATATTTTAGGAACTATAAACCTAGAAAAATTATTTTAAGAAACTTATTATCAAGGATCTAAATCTTAATTTTATGACCTACAAAAAATACTTGAAACAAAATAAAGAACTGTCTTCACATTCTATGAATGCACATAAAAGTAATGTACAGGTGTAAATAGAAATATTATTTTTCCTTGAATTTCCTACTTTCTACAACAATATATTTTTAATATGTGAAATACCCTAAAAAGTTCAAAATAAAATACTTTTGTTACATCCGTTCATTACTCCAATTATTTTATTGCACAAATTTTCACAGTACAATCGTGAAATTACTTTATTTACATTTCAGATTGAAACAGTTTTGTTTCTAAGAAAAATTCCGTGTTGGTTGTCATTAAAATTAAATTGTAAAATATGTCGACGCTCTATGAACATGTGTAAATTAGCGTCCGTCCTCATTCTGCCGCATTAAAGTATCTCAATGGTTTCGGAGAATAGTTTTTAGAACCAGGACATCGCTAACAACGTTTACAACTGTTACAATCTGACGAAAACAATTGGGAGAAGTGCATTATTTTTGCAGTCGTACGCAAAGGTGTTCGATAGTACATATTTATGAAATATGTGACTAGAGGAAACTGCATATCGACATCACGCCTTCGCCTGCATCGTAAATTGTGCAACGGTACAGGCATACAAAAAACAATGAACAGGAAAAACGCGGTCGAATCCCAGCATAAACATTGAATGTTAACAACATTAAGGTTACTTACCTTCATGTCAGTGATAATCTGCTGAAACAGGCCACCCAGAGCACTGCACTCTCTCTCAATTGTTGCATCCATCTTTGACGATCCGAAATTGTTTTGTTACTTGGCCCCGATAAAGTTCTTCCGCATCAGACTGGTTGAAAAGTTCACTTCGTGTCATCTGTACAAGAATGTACAGAATTTCCGTAGGAATATTGGCGGTCCGTGTAATTCGCCATTTTCGTAACAAGGGACGACAGTTTAATGTAATACACAACGAGGCACGATGAAGTATATCTACATAAACTGGACTCCGGACACGCAGTGAATGTTCGCTCAACTGTATTAATTAGAAACTCAATGAATCACAATCGAGGTTTCACAGGGACTTAGGACGATTTGGAATCATAACATCGATTAGTTTCACGATGTAATATTGTAAACACTAGGAACGGTTTCTCGAAACAAACCCACTCATCACGACGATCAAGTATGGCTCGCGTCTGCGTCGATTCTGTTTTCGTTGTAATATCTGAATATCCGTGGGTGCCCCCCTACGGCGACCCCGTTCCAGAACTTCAAATTGAGGATTCGGAGTGTATCTAATCGTTACTCAGGGTAAGGGCTCTCTCTCTCTTTCTCTACCCCTTGACAATCACTTCCGGAGTGTCGACTATTGAAAGAGGACATCCTGCATCATTGCTCGATTATTCTGATTGGTTATTCAACACAGATATAGGGAAATGTTTGCCGCATGCACAGCCTCAACAATGAATTTTACCCAAGGGGGGAATTTCGTCTCTCCTCAAATAGAATGTAACTAGAAGTGGGTTGCTCGTGTATTTGAGCACTTCTTATTTTAGTATGAAACAGCGATCATCAACATTGTAAATTGTCGCGTTTCTTTTATATTAATCAAAATTCTATCCATGCACGCAATGTAATACTAATATAGGATGCAACTAAATATATATATGATTGACAATCCTAGTTACATTCTGCTTAAGGGAAGTTTAAATTGTCCCTCCGAACAAGATCGTTGCTTGATACAGTATACATTCCTAACAATTCCTAATTTCTGTTACTGTTTCTAGATCGACGAATTTCGTAAAAGAAAATTCTTCGGAAAAAAACAACTTATATTACGACTAAAAGACGAAATACTTTAAAAGAAGTGATAATTATGAGTCTCATAATGACAAAGAATGAATCAATTTATGATATATTACTGCAAAGCTTCGTACAATTAATTGAAACAATACCGACTATTTTGAAATTAATCACTGTTGCTGGTGGCGTTGCAGTTACTTCATATGCACTTTATCATATTCATGGTAAATTTATTTCGAAATTTAAAATTTCTTTTAATAGATGAAACTTTATGTTAAGTAGATTTGAATTGGTTAATTAATGTAAATTTTATATTAGCCTTTACAATGCATTTTGGAATATTTAAGAATATTTAATGTACTCTATCTTTTATAATCTTAGTTTTAACTGAATTACAGTGCATCGAAATAAGAGATTCATGCGTGAAACAAAACACAATTCAATAGGAATACAGGAAATTAGAAATTATAATCGCTCATTTATTAGAAATCAAAGCATAATCAGCCATAAAGAAATGTTTCATAGATTGGAATATGCGGCCGACGTAAATAATCGTTTTGTCACAAAATATTTTATAATATAAATTCCAATAAAATTTTGTATAAAGATTATTACTCTTGGATATACGTATTAAACTTCTCTGATTCTGTTTTCATTTTATTACAGAACTGTTATGACAAAACGTATGCATTAACATGTATCGATATAATTGTTTATTGTCCACAATTAATCAATGTAAAATCTTCACTCCATGGCTTGACACCCTTTCATCGAGTTTGTCTCCACGGTCACACATGCTTAATAACATTTATGTTAGGGAAAGGTATGCACTAAATAAAAAGAACAATAAATTTTTATAAAGCAATTTCATTTTAATCTACATACATCTATAAAATAAATGTAGGTGCAGATGCTTCTATAACTGCGGTAACAGGAGAAAATGCTTTATGTTTGGCTGTTCATTACTTTCTTAATAATCCAACAAAAGATGATTTTTCATGTCTTGAAATACTTCAAAACACAGGTTTGTCATTTTAAATATGTAGTTCAGTATTCATTCCTTTAAAATAATTTGCATTTAAATGAAAGGTATACTAATCCATAGGATGTGGATTCGGTATAAAAAACAGATGCTACAATGTTTTACTAAGAATGGCAGTTACTAATAATCACATAAAATTAATGCAATGGTTGATTTTACATAAAGAGACTCCATTGAATAAAATTTTCCGATGTTCTTCTATGCCACCGATAACATATGGTTATAAATTTAATAATTAATATAACAATGGTTATAAATTTAAATAATTATAAATATATGTATATAAATTATATTTTAAAAATACATGTTACATATACCCAATATTTGCCTAAAAAATAGTTGATATTCCCTATACTTGTACATGCTATAAAATGTAAAATAAAATGTGATTCAATATATTTTCACATCAACAGTTAAAGAAACAAATATATGAAAATATATGTAAACTAAATGGTAATTTTGATTTACAATTTAACTTCTTTATTTGCAAAATAAGTAAACTGCTTCTTTTAATATAAATTTGCATTAAATATTATTTCTTATAGGAATAAAACTTATATGATAAAAATTCAAATATAGAGTTAAAAATTAAAAAATATACTGCATTATATATTCTAAGGAACATGTATATGTATATTATTGTATATACATACATATCTACATATTAGTAATTGTGAATAGGATATTAAATGTACATACGAAAAACTATGAACGCGAGAAAATTCGTTCTAGTTATATGTATAGATAAGAGAAATTCGTCCTTCAAATATAAAATATTGCGTAATGCACAAACCGATATGCAAAAAATACGGGTGTATGAAGTATATATAATGCGCAACGCGAGTCATTATTTGACGGAAGAATCATTGGACGAAAGGGTTAAAGGTTGAAACTTCAATTACACAATGGCAAACACCGGTTTATTAGTTTTAACAAATCCATCAAAGGTGACAAAATTACTGCCTATTATCAAAAAGCATGTATTGAAAACTTTGTACATTCAATATTTTCCTGAGAAGAATAGTTTTGTGTCAGGAAATTACACGGTTACGAAACCACGACAAACAATACCCCACTATGCACGTATAATTTCTAGTATTTATATTGACACATCTACGGTTTCCTCACGCCTTGATATTCGAGTTTTACTGACAAGTATGAAAAATTCCAATTTATCGATAATAAATACGAAAAAGCCTGTGGAAATAGTAATTTTTGATCAAATCTATAGTAAAAGAGAAGCTGACACATTCATACAGGATTATTTAGCGAATACTTCCATGGGCTGCAATTTTATTAGCTTGAATGATGATCAAAAAGTGGAGAACACAGATGTAAAGTCTTGCCTCGAAGAAGAAAAAACTTATAAGAATGTAGTACTCGGTGGTACATTTGATCGAATACATAATGGTCACAAAATATTTTTAAGCGAAGCTGTATTACATTGCACAGAAAAACTTACAGTTGGTGTAACCAATACGAATATGTTGTACGGTAAGTATCGTAGACAATGGTTTTAAAATGCAAATCTTTAATGTTGTACTTAAAATTGCTTATCAACTTTTTTAGGAAAATTATTATGGGAATTGATAGAACCATGTTCAAAAAGAATAACGAATCTTAAAGACTTTTTAGAAGATATAGATTCAACATTAAAATATGATGTGGTTGGAATAAATGATATGTATGGTCCTACCAAAGATGATCCAACATTCGAAATGATAGTAGTTAGTGAAGAAACAATACGTGGTGGAGACAAAGTTAATGAACTGCGTATACAAAAGAACTTAAATAAATTGGATATACATGTAGTGAAATTAATAAAAGATGAGAATCATAGGGAACACGAAGAACATAAAATCAGTTCAAGTAATAATAGAATAAGATTATTAGGAACACGATTACGACCTCCTGTAAGTATTAATTATATTACTATTGAAAAAAATGTCAATTTTATTACTTTTCTAGAAGCTAGGTGACAAACCTTTGAAACCCTACATTATTGGTTTAACTGGTGGTATTGCAAGTGGAAAATCATCAGTAGCTGAGAAATTAGAAAAATTAGGTGCAGCACTTGTAAACTGTGACAAAATAGCTCATGATTTATATTTACCTGGAAAACGTTGTTTTGATGCAATACTTGAAGCCTTTGGTTCAACTGTTCTGAGATCAGATGGATTTATTGATAGAAAAACACTTGGGAATATAGTATTCAATGATAAAGTAAATTTGTATAAGTCTATAGTTTTTCCATTTGTGCCTTGTTACTATCATTTCATATGTAAAATTACAAATTTATTTCTAGGCACAATTGAAGAAATTGAATAAACTTGTTTGGCCTATAATTTTGGATGAAGCAAAAAAAAAAATAAATGAATTTTATGTGAAAGGATTTGATGTAATTATAATGGAGGCAGCAGTGTTAATTCAAGCCAAGTGGCAAAATGAATGCCATGAAATTTGGACGTGTATTATTCCTCAAGAAGAGGTCAGTTTTTTTAAATTATTTATATAAATGCGAATATAAAGAATGTTGTGATAATATTCAATACTATTTTGACTTTGAATAGTTCATGTAACAAATAATTTACTCGACAATATTTGTATAACACAGTAAGTTAAATATGCTTCAATTTTCTCAATTTCCAGGCCATTAAGCGAGTGATAGATCGAAATGGATTAACTGAAGCTGATGCAAAGTTAAGAATCCAAGTTCAACCTAGTAATGTAGAGCAAATTAACGAAGCTAATGTTGTTATATGTAGTTTGTGGAGTCATCATATTACTCAGAATCAAGTACAAAAAGCGTGGGAAAATTTAATGGATTTCTTATCAGCCCAAGATAAAAGTTAATACTACAGAAAGTATATTCTGTTGATAAACTATGTGCTAATTGTGAATTGTATTTAAACAGATTTAAAAAATATTTTTATGAATATTAAAATTAAGGTGGCTTGTTATTTTTAGTACTCTTTCAAATAGATAAAATTAATTTTTTATGTCATACCATTATGTATGTTCACTTGTACAAATATTTGCATAAAATTGTTTTTATTCAGTATATATTGTATAGTTCATAATTAAAAAATGTTGCAATATGTAGGAAGAAGGGAGTAAAACAAATTGTATGTTTAATTAAACAATTATAATGTAACATTTAACAAACTTGTAATTTTATATAATGTGTATAATGCATACATAAATTGGTTATACATAAGATAAAGATAATGTAAAAAGAAATTATTGGCTAATATTTTTTTATGAAGCACCCGTCTTACTTTGATCTACTATATTACTTAAAAATAAGAGACATTAAAATCTTTTATACTGGATAGTATTACATATCATTTTGCAAATGATATATTCTCAGTTGACATATTTTTTATTTCTTGGTCTGTATAATTGTGCATTTTAGTAACGATTGTACTTATGAATGAAGAAAAATCAGCTTTAAGTTTATTTCCACCACTATCTACGTTACATTTGACGTGCGACACTTTCCCGAATGTCGAAGCTATAATTATAATAAAATAAAAATGTATCAATGTGTTTATAAATATCCAATGATATTAAAAGTTAATACTATTGTATATATGCATTTATACTTACAAATAACTTTTGATATTTCGAAATTTTTTTTCTCGGGGTCATAACAAAATATGACACATTTATCAGGACCTAATTTCGTTTGATTAACAAAATAATCGTATAATTGTTGAATTTCTTTCAGACATTGATTGGATCTTTCACTATACACAATTATAATACCATGTAAATTTTGTCTTATAGCTGGCCAACAGTTTTCGAATCTAAAACATTTTCATATTATTATATATGCATTCTACGTTTCGTATTATTTTCCAATAATATATAAAAATAAGATATTGATATATACTTGTGGTCCCCACTACAGTCCCACAACTCGATATCTTGTGTAATACTCTTAGTATTCACGTTTATATTTTGCACTTCAAACTCTAATATTCGAACACCTTGAGTAGGATGATAATCATAAGGTATTTCTGTAGCATCCGCAAGAAAATTCGATATCGTTGTTTTACCACTCTGAAACATATTTATTACAAGTATAGCAAACACATATAGTCTTTATAAATCATTACAACTCGTTAGAATGAAATTTATATATATTTGTAGATGTGTATCAATTGTATATTTTATTATTTTCGTAACACATTCAAATACTAAAAACAAAAAACGCATGATTATATTATATCTTTTAATTCTGAACATTACCCTAACAGGTCCTATGACTATTATTTTTATTGGTTGCATGCTTCAAGTATACACCAATTTGGTATAAAATGCCGTACTACACACTTGTATGTTTGGAACAGTGTTGTCATAGCAACTAGACCTAAACTTGTACTATTAAGAAACAGACTTCATTAATAACTTGTATAATACAATGATGTTGGAATTTTATACGTATATTATTCATCACCAAAAACTATTTAAGAATTAATGGAATATAACGCCATAATACATATTTATATAGATTGATTTATTGTATTACATTAAGATTTCAATATCAATACAATGTTGAAACGGAATAGTTTAAATGTCAAATAAGACCAATTGTAAACTATTTACAAAAATAAAGACGCCTAAAAGAGTAAACTGTTTTTAAGATAAATATTTTACTGATTTCAAACACAATTACAATATTTTTATCAATCATTGTATCTACGTACAGATGCTTTTATTCCAGTAGCATACATGTATCGATAAATAGGACAATTCGTTTAAATTAACGATTGTATTAACAAAATAATTACAATTTTACAATTTATTGGAAGTACAATGATCGATACTATCGATAGTTAATTGTCATTTTACTATAGATGCAAATTAAAGAGGTATATCAAAACATACTTCAATTGATAAAAGAGCCATTTATCGTCAACGCATGCTGGTTATTTTAATATAAAAGATATTTCAAACTAATTATGAAGTATTCTACTCAAACATTCAGTAAGTTGATTAGAAGGAATAAGTTTTATCTTTTATAATATTATAGACGATTGAATATCATACATATTTATATATGTATATATGAATTCTATATATTTATAAATATAAATTGAAAAATTCTTATATTATTATTGCAAGTTGTTCAAGTTTTAGAATCTTTTCTGCAATTTGCAGTCATTCCACGCAATATATAAATTGAAGAGATAAAATTAAAACACAATTCATTAAAATTATCCAAATGTCATTGTTCTAAGCCATTGGTTGATCTTCCAGCATTAGTTTACCTTCTTCTGGATAGGTCAAATCATACAATGCTAATAGTGCCGATTTTGCAGCTATTTTCTTGGCATCTTTCTTGTTTTTAGCTGTAATATATACATACAGTTGTAGTAAAAGAATGATTCAAATTCAATAAATAAATGCTTGTTAATTATACGTAAATATAATTTTATGTGCAAAAGAAAAAACAAGTTTTTTTGTTGGGTCTTCTATGTGTTATAAGAGATTCTTTTTACTGTTAAATACATGTGACACGTAAAATAAAAAAGCTTTATTCTAGTTTAAAAGTAAAGTTTTAGCATAGAATTTGCATTTAAATATATTAATCTCTATATGAAATCAGTGCGTATATAATAAACACGTGAGACATTACCTGTTCCTGTATATTCAACACCATCAATTTCTACAGCAAGAGTAAACATTGTGTTGGGTGGATTACCAACACGATTTAGCTCTGAATATGTTAAACCTGGTCTCATTTGGTTTAATAACATTACAGGATGTATGTTCGTGGCATTTGGGGGAAGTTCTTTCTGAACCAGAGGTTTTGGACCCTGCAAAGTCTCTTTTTTATTTCCCTTAACAGGTGATGGTAATCCAGGTCTTGAGACTGGAACTGATGTTCCTTGATTGTGCCATTCAAGGAAAAGTTTATACAGTGCAAAACTAGCCAAAGAACTCCATGGAATTTCATCATTCTCGTCAGTAGTAGTATCCATAGGTGTTACACCTTCTTCATTACTATCATCTTTTGATATATTAGATATTTCTGTAGATTGACTTACAGATCCATCTAACTCAGCATCCATACGTGCTTTCATAGATGCTGCTGTCATTTTCTCAAGTAACAAGGCTTTCAATGCATTCTCAGCAGCATTTTGTCGAGCAAGTGGTTTAGACAATCCTTGTCCAACATAGGTTTTACTGTCGAGCTGTTATTAGTAATAATAATGTAATTATACCCATATTACATACAAAAAGGTACAATAATATTTCTTTAAATAGACTTTAATGCAATAAATTACAAAACATTGGTAATATTTTCAATATACAAATAATAATACATTATTACAATAATAATGAATAAATATTTAAAATTACCTCTGCATGAACGAGATAAAGAGAGTTTGGCATTCCCTGAGCTTCAGGAAATGTGAATTGTACTCCAGCTTTCATTTCATTTAATACCATAATTGCATTCTTTGGTTGCAATGTTTTCCTTAAACGTTGATTCAAACGGAGTCGCTTTAGTCTTTTGTTTACCCTATCTGAATTCATAAATGTTGTTTAATATACAAAATTTGAAAACTATGTATTAATTTTATTTTTCATGAATATCAGTAAATAAGTGTTCACAGATGTTATTGAAAATGCTGTAGCTCGACAGTTAATTACTGGAGCATTTAGCAGTTCTAATTTTCAAATTTGCGCAGTGAGTTGTCATCATTCTAACAATAGTTAATAAATGAACGAATTTTTAAATGCAAAGTCAAAATCAAATTCTATAATTCACAAATATTTACAATGATTTATAATCATATCTCCTGTACGCGTTTACCCACAAAAGAACTATTGTACTTGCATCCAATTATTTATCCCTCAAAACCGTTGAACTTTTATTTGAAAGGATTGATTTAAATGATTCATACTTGTATAGAAGACTAGTCTTGATTATGTGTTTATAATTCACAGTCTACAAATATGAAAGGATATTCACAATACTTATGGGATGGCCTAATAATAAAAAGTATTTATTTCTATAGGCAATTTAGAAATTATTGCTAAGGAAATAAAATAAAATATATTATACAGTTAACAAAGCAATAGGGTAATATAATAGAAGATACTTACATCCAGGTACTTTACGTTTCCATTTTCGTTGTTGGTCCAACATTTCGACATCATTATTCTCAGACACTTGATCATCGGCTTGCGTTTCAGAAGCATTATTAGGTATTTGTGGTGTAGGATTAGAATTAGTTGTCGGAGGTGTTGGAGTAGGAATCAATGGTTGTGGAGATGGAGCAGGATTACTCTGTACAACTGGTGCAGTCTGTGGGGGAGTATGAGAAGTTTGTTTCAAAATTGGCTTCAATCGTTGAGGTTGACCTGGAGATTGAAGCTGAGCTTGGGACTGTTGTTGTTGTTGATGCTGTTGAGGTTGAGGTTGAGGTTGAGGTGGAGGTTGAGGAACAGATTGAATTTGGGGTTGTGATTGCGTTTGAGGTGAGTTTGAAATAGGTTGCTGCAGTTGTTTAATTTGTTGTTGTGGTTGAGTTTGAGGTGAGTTTGAAATAGGTTGCTGCAGTTGTTTAATTTGTTGCTGTGATTGTTGCTGTGGCTGCTGGGGTTTTCCTTGTTGTAAATTTCTTGATGGAATCTGCTGCTGCTGTTGATGCGGTTGTTGTTGCTTAAATGCTTGAGGATTTTGCGCATTTCCTTGCTTATAATTGTTCTGCTGATTAGGAAACTGTTGTGAGCCTTGCAAGCCTCCTTGATTGTACTGTAAAATAGAGGGTGGGTCGCCGCTACACAAGGAACCTCTACGGTTGTGCTATCCCACCAAGGTCTAGCATCGCATATGTACTTTGAAGCAGTCTAATGCTACCCTCATAACTCATACCAACCGAAATATTTCCGTAGCCAATATTTTTTTTAATTATAACTGAACTGAGTTTATAAAACGTTTTAGGGAATAAAAATTGTACACAAAGTTTAATAAAATTTTTCACTTGCAAAAAATAATTTTTTTTTTTTTACTTTTTTTCTATAACCAATATTATTTTTATTCTACATCGCACAAAAATATAATTTATGCATGTTCGTCAAAATAAAAAATTTGCAACACTCGTACAAGTAATAACAATTAGAATAATAGCAAAATTAACTTGAACTATGTTTTCTGCTATGTACATAATTACTAAGTTTTGTAAATATAAAAAAAATCATATACATTATAAACCAACTTGTTTCTTTCCTTTGTGAAACTTGTATAGTCGATTAGAATTGTAAATATGATAAGTCACATTCTTTAAACATCAGTTCAGTATGCTATCAAAAATATGGCCTGTGGCAGGCTATGCTATGTGGGTAACTGACGAACTAGTCCCTGGCTGAATAGACCTCCTCGGTATTGTTGTATAGCTACTAGTTCCTGCATTGCAGGGGAGGGGAAAGTAGGGACCACTAATTAGTACATGCAAATGGATGAAATATTGGAGACAACAAATGGAACAACTACACAATTTGATTGTGAGGAATATAATATAATGAGCTTTTCTGTTCCATATAAATAGAATTTATAATGGAAGTGTAATAATGTAGAAGTATCATTCGCGATAAAGCTTGGCAATCTTATTATCAAAATACTTAATTCCATTTCCATAAATACAGATTATCATTACAATAAAGTAGGTAATAGTATTCTTCACAATTATAATGTTTCCAAAGACAATAGAGTTAAAAAGCTTAAGGTTTAGATCAGCTGATTTATCTTTCTTTTTCATTTACTTTCTTTAATCCACTTTAACTTTTAAACAAAATAAATTTTTTTACACTTTTTTAAGACATATATAAGTTTAAATACATTAACAACCCCTCAAGATCCGAAAGGACAAAAGGGGCATCAATAAATAATAAAACACATTAACAAAATTATGATTGAACATTTTTAGATATAGAAGGTGGGCTTGAACATGTGGTACAACCGGATAGGAGGTTATTCTATATGCAAAAAGAATTCGAAGATACGGAATAAAATTTGTTCGGACTTTGCTTCGTTTCCGTGATAATCGAATTCGAAAATGCTCTAGATACGCGAACAATTCAATAGTTCAGTACATTTCATTTTCACTTGTAAGCACAATTACATATGTGTTACCTGAATTTTCAAAATTAATAGTCTTCGTACAGACGCATGATATGAAAAAATGTTATCCAACATTTTCAACTTATTTTTACATACAGTATAACCCATTGTACAGTTGAACCACATGTCCTGGCCCTCTTTGTACATAGAGCTATATTTTTCTTTTATATCTAACAATGTATTTTGTACTGATTCTATAAGCTCAATTTATTAATTATTCCACAAATCTACAGAAAATGTATAGAAATATTTGAAGTTTTTTTTCTTAGACAAAAAAAGTGTGTCAAAAATATTAATGTGCGATATTTTCAAAATCAAGTTTTCTACAATAAGAAAGAGCTGACATAATAATTGTATTCTTGTTTTCTTTTGTCATAGAAATAAATTATTTGTAAAGTGCTACATGCTTCCAAAAACATAATGTATATATGTACTTAACTTGTATACCAAAAGGAATATACAATTCGTTGTACCTTATTAAAGTGTATACATATGCTTATATGTATGAAACACTTTGTGATAGATTTCTGGTATAGATACCAAATGATATTGTAGTATGGAAAAGAACTTTATAATACAGTTTGGTATACGTACCAGAATATTATCAAAAAATGCTTCCACTATTTGTACTAGTATACTAAAATATTTGTCTGTATATGTATATATTAAATGGATGTACATTTTATACTATAGATAAACATACTAATTATATTGTCTTAAAACTACTAAAACAAAAAAAAAGTTGTTAAATCGTACATTTATATTTTAAAATAAATTTATATATTTCATATCATACTTCAAATAACAATTTTATATAGTTTTTATTGAATGAGTGAATTTAATTTAAATAAAACTTTAATTGTAAAGAATCAAAATCGTATAAAAAAAAATTATTTGACTTCTATTAAAAACATTATAATAAAATGAGATTAATTTTTATTGTTTATAATTATGAATGTATTATTTACATTATCAAAATAATTTTTGCTTTTTTGAATTTTTTGGTGTACAAATTTAAATCATGTATAATAATTTCCTAAATTGGAGCATGAAAATTATTATGTATTTAAGGTAATATGTTTTTATCTAGCACCATGTGTTTAGCTAAGGTACTTATGAAATGTCAAGCTACAGTTATTTTTCCAGATATTTTTTAAATTCATATAAGGTACTATTGCATTAAAATTATTATTAAGATAAAAACACTTACAACATTTGGACCCTGGTAGCCTACATTTGGGTTAGTTTGGTTTCTTGCTGTAAATATAATTTTCTAAATTATTATACTTTTTGTACTGTTACATACTAAATTGAATAATTTCGTTTATGCTAATAAAATAGGGATGTTATTTTATAATTTTATAATGAATTATATTAAAAGAATTATTCATATAAATTTAAATAATAAGAAAGTATACAGGGTATTCTACAACATATGTCAGATGTTTTAAGGAATGATGGTACATGTCAAAATAAGACGTAAAATTGAGAATAATAATTTTCTAGTTACAAACATTTAAAAATTAGGGTGAAGATAGACAATCCGCGGGCAATTGGAAAGCACAGGGCAACAGAAGAAATGGGCATTCAGGGCCGTTAAAATCAACGAGGACCACAACTATACATCGTAGAAACTGAAAAATTCGATAATATTCGTTGATATTACAGAAATATGTATTACTTTAAACATTCTTGTACAGTATTAAATTTACTTGGTGGATACTTGTTGTATATTTGTGGACTTTTCTGAGATACAGACTCGCTGTATGTGAAAAGTTTTTGGATTTTGGCCCACATAAGGATTTCATAGAATAGGTAAGTTTAATACTGTGTAAGAATTTTAAAAATAACAGATATTCCTTTAGTACTGACGAATATCGTCGAATTTCCCACAGTTTTTCCAAAGTATGTGGTTTTCATTGATTTCTGACGGCCCTGAATGCCCCCCTTTGTTCCGTTGCTCTGGGCTTGCCACTTGCCTACCTCCGCCCTAATTTTTAAATGCTTATAACTAAAAAAACGAGGGTTTAATGGCAATTTGGTTACTCTTCAGTTTAGTTTTATTTTGGCATGTAGAATCGACACCTTAAAATATTTGATACCTGTTATTGAACACCCGTACATATATGTACGCAGGTAAATATGCACATATGCGAAAAAAATTTACAAATTACAAAATTATTCTACAACAGGATGTTATAATGTTCGCACAAAATTGTTTTCTATCTTAGAAAATTTTTACAAAGTTAGAGCGTGAAATTCTGTCAAAAGAATATTCATTCGAAGACGCCATTCTCTGAAAGCCGGTATATAAATAGATATGTATTGATTTTTGTCTATTAAAGCTATTCGTATATTCATAATCCACTAAGTATAAAAACTAATTTCATGGGAATTGCTACATAACATGTAAATTTTCCACTTAAAGAATTTTGAGAAACTCACCAGTATAGCCTTGGCTTTGTCTGCTTCTTGTATACATATTGACCTTTAATTATTATTTAAAGCACTTTGGATACGATTCACAGCAAAATACTAGATATGTAGAATATTTATTTATATGATATCCAACTCTGGAATATAGAATACAATCAAATCTACGAGAAATACGAACACGATTCAAGGTTCTTTCCACTGTGATCACGTAAACGCGAATGATTTACAGTCTTGTAACGGAGAAGAAGGAAATGACGTTGTTTACTGTTGTCGGAAGTGGAAGCTCTGCCATATTGGTTACAAAGCGCATGCGTTGATCATTTTATTACAAATTAAATTCAACTGATTTTAAAACAAGAATCAAGTAAGTTGCAATTCTTTTTATTATAATTTTATTTAAAACTCAGTAAAATATAAAAATTAAGATTTTATACCAAGAAAAAATTATATTTCAAAACAATGTGGTGTCTAACTTACGAAAACTGATGTTAATTGTAATTGGGTTTTATAAAATGATTTATGGAAGAAATTGTTAGTTTATTTTGTACTAAATTTATGATTAAAACTTTTTTGGTAGAAAAATAAATCTTATGAGTTCAGGACAAAAATTATTTACTACAGTTGTATAATAGTGGATTCAAGTAAATTTACAAAATAAATATATATTTAAAAATCATTATTTTTTGATACTGAGGATTATGTTACCAGAAAAAAGGATTTTAAATAATAATCTACATAAGTATCACGATAAATTTAACACATCAACATTTTTTGATTGTCAATTGCAAAAACTGCTGACTAATAAGTACAATGCCTGTATCTACATAAACAATAATGGTTAACTTTTGTGTAGGTGAGTGTATAAATAGAAATATAAAAGTTTATAAAAATATAGGACTTTGAATTAAAGAATTTATATTAGTTATTTCATCATTGCAATAATAGTAATAACATATTTTACAAGATTTAATTGTTTTCTATCTTAATAAACTTGTGTTACAATGTAATATAAATTTAAAGTAATCCTTCCATCTCTTGCATAAACTGCATGTATGCATCATCTTTAGTCTTGGGTTGAGTTGTTCGTAACGGTTGCGTTTCCGGTATTCTTTCCGTAAGTCTAGATAAAGTACTTGGTTTTTTCTTATCATCTCTCTTCACACGCAGAGAAGTAGGCAGAAATCTTGTAACATCAGCAGCTAAATTTCTAATTTGTGGCTTAGCTTCGATAGTTGTGGTACTTTTTCCATCTTTATCTTTCCTATTAATTAATTGTGGCGCAGCAGAAAGAACATTAGGTGTTTTGGGTTGCGACCCTGTTGCAGATTGTGTCTGCATTTGAGGATTTCCTATATTTGTCATATTTGATAGGTTTGGCATTTGCATTTGTGGAGGGGGCATTCTGGGCATACTTGGTGGTCCAGGTCTCAACATCCTTGGCATTCCTGGTGGAGGACCTAAATAGTGGTTTCATATTTTTATTTAGTATTATAATTTTCCGGGTAATATATAAATTGATGTAAAGAAATTTTTAACAATGAAACATATATGTACACTATTTTAGGTATATTACAGTGTATTATCCTTACCAGGAGGTAAACGTAATCCAATTCGAGGTGGTGGTGGTGGAGGCATTCTTAAATGCAATGGTGGTGGTGGTGGCCTATACATTAAAGGATGAGGCGGCATTCCCATAGGAGGCATTGCATGAGGTTGCGTATGTTGAGAATGAGAATGTGAAGATGTATGCTGATTATGATTCGATGAGTGATCCGATGCTCCTGGAGGTTCAAGATCTTCTTCGTCTGTTTTATTATTGTTAGATTTGTTATTAGATTTTGAATTAGATTCATTTTCTGCTTCAAGTAATGACAATCGAGCATTTAAATCTTGAGCTCGTTCGGTTTCTCGTTTTTTATGAACAACTTCCATTTCACGCATGAATTGGTCAATATCTTGGCCTGCCATAGCCAACATTTTCTGCTGCAAAGTAGTTGGCTTTACTTTTGACATGTCTCTGTCTTTTTCTTTCTCTTTATCTGTCTCTTTTTCTTTGTTATCCGATTCTTGCTTGTTTTCTTCCTTATCATCTGCAAATCGAATTGTCCTAGACTTTGGTACTGCTTCTTTACCCTGCAAAAGTTATACAGTATTTTCATAGTTTAACTGCAAATGTAATCAGAATAATTTTGAATACCAACCTTTTCAGGAGAATCTTCTTCATCACTAGATAAATCAGGAGGTGGAAAAGGTGGTACACCAGGTGGTTCTTTATTAGGAGCTAACAGTGGTGCAGAAGGAGATGATGCATATGCACTTGTTTTTTTCAAAATACTTGGTGGTATTGGTATGTTCATAAGTGGATGATGTTGTGGTATATAGTGTGGATGGGGAGGATACATGTGTGCCGGTGGCTGTGGCATGTCTGGTAAAGGTATTTGCGACGTTAAAGAACCTGGAATGATATTTTTAGTCTATAAGACACATGACAAGTTACATTCTAAACATAATTATAAATATATAAATATACCAGAATACATTCTAGATATATCAGTGCCAGCTGATGGGAGAGGAATTTCATCAACTTGTACTTGCTGTGCATGTCGCACGGCTTCAAAATAAGAAACCAAATCTATCCTTCTACGTTCATACTGTATTAGTTGCTCTTTTAATTCTGCCCACTTTTCCTGATCATCTTTTGCCTATAGACAAAAATAAATAAAAAACTGTATGTCTATTATATCATTCAAAACATTTAATCACATTTTTACCTTACCAATAACTTTTGAGGGAAACTTTCTTTTAAAACTACTTACATACATTTTCAATACACGATCTAAGGTTTCCTTCAGCTTTTTTCTTTTATCTTTCAAGACTTTCTCGTTAAGTGGTGGAGGTTGCATGACATTGTACTCTAAAAATAACACGCATAATATAAGTAAATATTATATAATGTTAATATTAGTAATTATTTCAAAAATATTCATGTTTATACCAACCCATTTGATCTATTTTCTCCATTTCTTCAATAATTTGAGCAGGATCTTTGCCTTTCAAAACAGCTGCTCTTACTAGTTGTCTTTGTTTTTTATTTTTCTTTAATTCTTTTTTACGTGCTTCTTTACCTGTAGTAAATTGTTTAATGATATATAATTATTTGCAATGAAATAAATTATTTGGTTATGTTATTTACTAACGTGCTTGATCAGTGGGATTCATATATTTCCCACTTTTCGTGGTGTTAATTGAACGGCGACCCATGTTTTCTTAGTTAAAGAACACTTGCTAAAATGTATTTTTATACTATATTTTCACAAATTTTGTATCACTTTATTCATTATTTACATTCATCATAACTACAAATCACTACAAATCCACCATTGAGCCTTACTGTATATAGAAAGCATAAAAAGTATAGAAAGCAAGCGTAGCATATATAATAGACTGCGCGGTTTTATGGTAGAGATGAAGCGAGACCGAAGGACAGAAGTAGCGCTGGAGTAAATCTTCTCTTGCTCACACACCGCAGAGAAATTTCTACGATTTCAATGCTGATAATAATATTGATATAATAATGGTACTAACATGAATATAATATTATAGAACAAATGTTTATAAAATACATATAAGCTGCACTACAGTGTTTTTTACTATGTATTTTCATTCTTATGTAGGTATCGACGTATATATATATATATATATATATATATATATATATATATATGTAACTATTTTAACTGCCCATGTTCATAAATTGTGGTTATCATAAAAACAGATTAATAAACTAACTGTTTAAAGCTGTTTAAAGCTGTAGAAATTAAAAAGCAGGAAGTTAATGTGCCAATAATTCTATGCGTTTGTAAGTATAATACATGTTGCGATTTATTAGGTGGATAGTTTGTCTTAATTCAGTAGTAGTTAATCAAAATTTTTAAACCAATATTGTATAATATTAAATTATCTGAAGTATTGTATACTGACAAAAGTTACTATTAAAGTACGTTATTTGTGTATTTTCTATTAAAATGCACAATACGGTATTAATTGTTGTACGTAATGAGGTTTATGTTTATAAGTGAAAAATAAATCAAACGAAAATATGAAAGGTTATATAAAAGCCGCTTAGCAAGATTAATGATAGTATTTTTAAAATTTTATTGTAGATACGCGTAACATTAATTTCAATAAAGAATGTCTCATATCAGTGCACATGACATACATAAAAAACCTCGTACAAAGGACATTAAAATACAAGAAGATGTTACATTTTTCCAAATGGGTTTATCTCAAAAAATTTTAGATGGATTATCTGTTTGTGGTTTCCGAAAGCCTTCACCAATACAATTGAAAGCTATTCCATTAGGACGATGTGGATTTGGTATGCAATATTTTTATTTTATTATACCTGTAATATTTTTTCAATAGCTTGTAATTATGAGATCATTTGTTGATTACAGATTTAATAATGCGTGCTAAGTCAGGAACTGGTAAAACTTTAGTGTTTTGTGTAATAGCACTTGAAATGATTGATATACAAATATCGTTTGTGCAAGTATTAATACTAGCGCCTACTAGAGAAATTGCTGTACAGATTTCTGAAGTTTGTTCATCCATAGGATGTGAAGTAAAAGGTGTATTTCCTTAAAAATGTCATGAAATACCATAATATTAATCGAATGGACAATTTTAATTATATTGTAAGTAAAATCATTTTATCATTTTAGGCTTAAAAGTTGAGGTATTTATCGGAGGAATGGCTATAGATGGTGATAAAAAGAAAGTAAATGGTTGCAATGTGGCTGTTGGTGCTCCAGGTAGAATTAGACATTTAATTGACAAAGGACTCTTGAAAGTTGAAAATATTAGATTATTTGTTCTTGATGAAGCAGATAAACTAATGGAAAGCAGTTTCCAGAAAGATATCAAGTGAGTGTAGTAATAGAATTATTCTATAGTTTGTTATTAATAATAGTAATAATATTTATGGTGTTTTAAAACTTTCAGTTATATTTTTTCAAAATTACCATTAAATAAACAAGTTATAGCATCGAGTGCAACGTACCCAGGAGATTTAGAAACTTTTTTATCAACATATATGTGTTCTCCAATTTTAACATCGCCGGATAATGATGGACCAATACTTATTGGACTTCAACAGTTTGTAGCAGTTGTTCCTTCTCATCCTAATGCAATGAAACAGGTTTGAGTTGATTGTTACAATTTATGCAAACATATTTATGTGTACATTTATCTTCCATCAAGATTTTTACATTCAGTTTTCATTTTAGGTTCAAATAAAAGTAGATGAACTGACAAAAATATTTAGTAAAATTCCGTTCAAACAAAGCTTAGTCTTTTCAAATTATCAATCGAGGTAAGTGTATTTTCTTTTAGATATTTTTTTCTATATACTCTCAGGTAACAGATAATATTTATATTTGAAATAAAATCTCTTGTTTAATTACAGAGCACAATCAGTGTGTAACAAAATTAATGCTATGGGTTTCACTGCAACCTATATTGCTGGAAATCAAGATATGAAAAAAAGACTTGAAGCGATTAATAAATTAAAAACTTCTAAATGTAGAATAATGTTAACTACTGATTTAACTGCTAGAGGTATAGATGCAGATAATGTAAACTTAGTTGTAAACCTTGATTTGCCTACAGAGGCAGCAACATATTTGCATAGAATAGGAAGAGCAGGACGTTATGGATCTTATGGTATTTCCATAACAATAATTGCAGAGAACGAACTTGACACATTAAAACAATTACTAGCGTCAGTTGGCGGTTTGTATTTTTACGTACTGAAACTTCCTGCGAATTATCCAGATGATATTTGGACTACTTCTAGCACTAAATTTGAAAAGATTTATGCAAAATCTAATATTAATGAGAACCCACTTGAAACTGATACAACTATTGAAAGTGTAAGCGATTCAACTATAACCGTTGATGAAATTAAATTAAAAAATAATAAAAATTTAGACAATAATGAAGTTTTCGACAGTGCAAACGAGGTAAATACAAATGACATACAGTCTTCTAACATAGAAGAAGTAAAAAGCAGTAGAATTAAAAATGTTGACAATTTTCACAAAGGGTCTACTAGTTTAAGAAATTCATTTATGCAGGGTAAAAGAATCAAAGTTAGTTCTTTATTTACCGAGAATATTGACTCAAGCGAATCTCAGTGTACTAAAGAAAATAAAGAAGAGTCAACGGTTAAATCTTATAGTCAATCAAAGTTAAAAGTTATACATAGGTTTAAGTTAGACTTTATCTCAAATGATCTTTCTAAATGGCAAAAAGCTAATGAAAATATGGAGTTTGAAGTTGATTTAACAGATATCCAAGAAGATGATTTATCTAGTGTGAATTTTGAAAACATCATCGAACATTTAAAATATAATTTGCCTAACAACAAATCAGAAGAAGATTCTGTATGTCATAATTTTGAGAATACTATTTCAAATTCTGAAAATACGACTTCTGAAAATGTTGAACCTGTTGAACCAGAAACACTGATAACGTTAACACAGGCAGTTCAGCATATGGAGAATAATAGTAGTTTTCATACAAGCACTGTAATAACTCCAGCGAATGAAATAAATAATTGCATAGATACTTTAATAAAAGAATTAAGTAGTCGTATCAGTGACTATATGACAGATTTCAATTCATGTAGCAGTAATACTCATGTAAATGAAGAGGAAGTGCTAAAACAAGCAATCGTTTGGAAGCAAAAGCTGGATTTAGAAATTAGTTTATTAGATACTGCAATGAAAACCATGAAAGGATCAGTTCAAGCAATGATATATTCTGAACATGTTCTAATGCTAAAAATATTTTATAACATACAGAAACAAGCTACTTTATGCACATATCCAGAAATACGGAATGAATCAGAAGTAAACGATACCTATTTATACTCTACATCTTTAGATGGAAATTTCTTACAGGTGTACAGAGAAATAGAAGATTTTAAAAGTTTACATCGTAAGTCTGGTAAAAAATTCGATGCATATTTTCCATATCCTCTTACAGAAGATGCATATATGCCAAACCTTATGATCACAAAATCAGATATAGCAAGTTACCGTAATGCATTGAGATATTTAAGATCAAGTCCTTGTGTAAGAGGAAAATTATTACAAGTAATAGATTTTGTAGCATTTATTAAAGAGAATAAAAAATCCAATTTGTTAAAAAAATTACAAAATCACATAGAAACGTCATTTGATGAATTATTAATAATAATACAAAATGAAGTAGGAAACAATGAATTGGACGAAAATAAACATGTGGAATGTGAAGTTGATTCATCAAAGTATGATGACAATTCTGTTCAAGTTAAAAATATTACTGGTCCAAGGAGTTATACTTTACATGACCACCTTGATGATGTCCAAAGTACAAGAAGTACTACTGAAAAAGAAAGCATAACTGCTGATGAAGTAAATTTGAAAAAAATTACTGATAAGCACAGTTTCTGTAGTAATTCAAATACTTCAGTTTCAACAGACTCTATCAATGATTCCATTGATATCCAAAATAGCTATGAGAATTCTAATTTACAAAACAGTTCCTCTTCCATATCGTGGAATGAGAGTGATAATCTTAAAGAACCTTCAAATAATGAAAAAGTGTACACAAAAAGCAAATTTCGTAGAAGAAGGAATATAAGTCAAGGAAATAATGCATCAATTAAAACGAATGGAAGAATGTCGGGTCGATTTACACAAGTTTATAAAAATAATGTTTCATACGATGATGTTAAAACATTACCCAATAATCCTGATATAACGGAAAAACAGGGTAAATCAGAGATTCGATTAAATTCGTTATCATATCCTACAACAAGTTATACTGACGCATCTTCATTAAAAGCAAAGTCAAGTTTGTGTACAAACCATAAACAGAAAGGTATTCAGCAGGTACATAGTCCTCAGGAGTCATTCGTGAATAACAAATATCAGTCTTGTAATTCTTTTTCTGGATCTCAAGAATGCAAAAAATACATTTCAAGTAAATCTACAACAGAAAAGTTATTGGAAAGACACTGTACTGATAAAATTATAACAGATACAGCTGATTTATTTAACACTAATTGGCGACAATATGAACAGAGAATTCAACCAGAATGCACTAATGTTTTCGAGACCCTTCAAAAAGAAAACGATTCCTATTTTCTTAATTATTTCTCGAATTCTAACTTCGCAAAAGACAAAACTAATTCTTATTTTTCGCCAAACAAAAATATAACGAAAAATAAAACGGATATTGAACAATTTTTAACATCCTTGAGAGTTGAAACTGACCGTTTACATTTCGAATTATATAAATCACAAATGCTCCATGGGTGGACAGGAAATGACGATTGAAATAGATAGTTTTCAGATCTAAATAAAAAAATTATAACTTTAAATGAAGAACATCCTTTGACTTTTAAATGTTTTATAAACAATTTATTACCTTCTCTTGGAAATAGACAACAATAAAATGTTTAAATGTTAAACTCTATTGAACATTGTAACTGTGATGTATAATGGTTATCAATTAAATAATATTGTACATGCACTACTATTATATGATTAGCTTAAAATAAAATTGGGATAACAAAAAAAAACTTTTGAAACGTATTTTATATGCAATTATATAGTTGTTATTTTCTAATAAATGATGTTTACTATAATAATACCAGTACATTTAATCATACATATACAAGATTACAGGTCCTTTTCATCGATTTATATTTTGTAAGAGATAAAAATACGACCTCTATCATTTCTGTAAGTATTATGTCAGTTTTCCATTCGCGTATAAGCAAAGCCTGTACATACATTGTCTGTAGTGAAAGTAAAAAATATAAAACCAGATCATATTTTTTGTTTTAGTATTCATAGAAGATTTTTATTTCGATATTACTGAGGAACGTTAAATCATTTTATTTATGTGGACATCGTGGGCCGGCTGTGAGTTAGAGGGATCAGGTTTCTAAGGCGTTTCTTTAAGGGGAACGCGAAGAAAAAAACTACCTTACGAAACTCGTCTCGTGAGAATTTGGGGTACGCGCTTGTTGTGTCCGTCCTTTATTCGCTAAATAATCGTTTGAGCAGCCCGCCTAGTATACTTCAGTCGGTCACCACGTGCTTTCGCGTGAAGCAGTCTCTTAATCGCGTTCGCGAGTTTCGTATCGTATTAATTAGTGTATCTATCAATTTTTCTTTTATTATTTCATTCGTCCGTGAGTGTACGTCGTAGTGCGCGGTAAAGATATGTCGTTCTCGAGGAAGTATTTTAAGAGGGTCCCAATTTATGTGGTAGAACCGCACGACGAGGTAAGCCCCTCGGATGGTCAGCGTCTTCTTTGTTTGTTTACATCCTGAATAGCTCTGTCGAGGTTTACGTTTCAGGACGTTAGAGGCGTTGTGCGCACTTCGACTACCAGTGACGTAGTGATCACGTGATCAGTGTTGAACTTAAAATCGAACGTCAAACTTCTCGCGGGCTAGTAATTTAGAATATTTCCGTTGATAATAATCATTTTTTGGTAGGTTTTACCATTTATATATCGTTGTCTGGGATCCAAGCATCTTCCGTTCGAAGGAAATACGTTTATACATTTGGATTCTCATCCTGACATGCTTATACCGAAAGCGATGCCGGCAGACACAGTGTGGGATAAAGATCAATTATTCAGGTACTTATAACTAAATATTACACGAAGATTGTTGTTGATTGTTATTTTTTTATTTCTTTTGGCATATATTTTCGAGTTATCTGAATTACATGTTCTCGATATAGCGAAATTAGCATTGAGAATTGGATATTACCTGCTGCGTACGCTGGTCACTTGAGGCACTTGATCTGGGTCAAACCACCGTGGGCTAATCAGATGGCTGATGGCATGTCGACTTTCCTCATCGGCAAGCATAAGGACACCGGTTTAATAAGGTAAGTCCTGGAACGCATCATTTCATTTTCATCGAGTGTCAAAGCGAACACGAAATTATAGGTGTCCCAGTAAAATAGCTTGCAGTACTGTACAGGCTATTCATAACCTTCAAAGTATAATTATTAAAAATCATATCTTTATGACTCGGTTATAAAAACGCAACCAAGTTAATTTCACAAAGGCTGAAAAGTTAACCAACTGAGCTACGGGATCCCCCTACTTTTTTCTGGTTTTCTCTGGTTTAAGTCTTTTAAACGGACCTAGGAGGTCGTTTGGGGAGACCAGAGCAAAATCGCGATGTTAAGAATAAAATCTCATAACTTTGACAATATAAATCATCCAATTCTTCAGGCCTCCAACCAGTCGAACACAACAATTAAAAAACACAAAATTGTGCAAGTTCGCCATATCTTTCCTTACCATCTATAAACCCATGTATGCTGAAATCAAGCTTTTTAACAGGCTGCGCATGTTAGGAACTAAGAACCGTAGGACCCGTGACGAACACAAAATTATGTCTTCGAAAGTGAGCTGCCCGATGATCTTCTTTGATTACGGTGCTCGAGCTGTATGCGTGTAAAATATGTATACACGCGGCTCAGAATTCGTACGTTGCATGGAAGATAGGGCCACGGATAAAAGGACGCGTCGACGACGCACACCGTTTAGACCGAGAATTATTTTTCACTTGTGGCCGGAGCCACGAGTCCAAGTGGTGTCCGGTCTCGCCCGCGATTAGCATACACGGACACGCCACCCCGTGTACATTTAGGATAGCTGTAGCATAATGTTACATGTGTCCTCCCGTACCGAGACAAGCATCAGAAAATTGTTGACAGGTGGTAGAGAGCAGGCTTTAGTACACTCGGACACCACCGGGTCTTACCTTTGACGGTTGCGTGATCTCAATTTACGCGACAACGTTCGTGGAGAATAAAGCAACGCAATTAATTGAAACATTATCATTAAGCGACACGTTAATATGTACATAGGCCGAGTCGTTCAACATTTGGGGTGTCGAGATGCTTTCATCGGATGGGTTGCACGAGCCGAAGTTCAACAAATGAAGGGTAAGGGGTAAAAGATGGAGTTGTCACAAAACAGTTTAATCGAGGAAATTGATTCGTAATAGTTTGGTCCGTCATTGTTTTTAACCAGTAACTAAATCTGTAACGTTATCTTGTGTGAACATTTGTCGTTTGTAATCCTTTGTGATTCGACAGTTTTGTAGGCCTAGTTACCACTGACTAAATTAACCTTCATGTAACCCGACAAGGATCCCATCTTTCCTGGAACGTTTACCGATACCTTGTGCGTTTATGTTTATTTTTATCCTGAATGGTCTTCGAGTGTTCTAAAGTTCAATAACGTTTGCATTTTTTAATAGTTTTTTTTTCAATCTAACCACGATTTATTTCTATAAGAAATTTTCTGGGCTTGAGAATGCTTGGGGCAAGGGGGCTAAGCAGAGGCTCGGCTTCGGACAAAAAATAAATTTATGAGGGACTGAAAACCTTTCCGCTTTGCCACGAATGCTCCGAAGTGAATCCCAGTACGTCGCACTCATCGAGACAGTACTGTAGTGCTAGTGTTAAGATCATCTGCAAGATGATCGAATTATCAAACGATTTAGCAGCTCCGTATTTGTTGACTACCCGTTTCAAAAGCGTCGGCGAACGGTGTTATCGAGCTGTTTAACAATCATCGTGTTCCATCGGCTGTCATTGTTACACGTTCCGGTTAACGTTATTATTAAGTGCTACAGAAGTATTGAAATCGGACCTTGTTCGAACGATAAAACTCGTCCGGAACCATTACACGGAATGCATTAGGTTGCCACGTGATGCAACGGCGATGCATTGAAAGGCCGCGAGACGGGTAATGTACATAACCGTACAATATGGTTTCAACATGATTCATGAAGTATATATGGGTTTTATTGTTCTGTCATGGTTCTTTGTACGCGCCGTCTTTCGACGATGTGAATGATAGCACCTCCATTATGAACTCGGTGCTCCGATGTAGACATTTAAACACGGCGTAGTAATGCATCGTTGATAATGGTGTAACGTTATATTTTATAACTTGATCCTGGTACAATTACACTATGACCATAATGCGATACGTTCAATTACTTTGGTGATTTAATTTCGAATCACCACGGGCTACGTGTGGCGATCTATGTGGTAACAAGCAATACCATTCAGTTTTTAACTGACAGGTTTTGATATCGATTGTAGGTAGTGTACCTTATCGTTAACAAATATTCAGCCTGAGAGAAAAGAATAGCCCAACTGATCAACCAATTACGAGAAGGTTCAGCATTTTTCATTTTTGTTGTTCCTAGACCGTAATGCGTTTCAATAATATGTCGATCCCCTAAAAATGAAGGTAGTACGAGATTCTAGTGAAGGATTTAAGTATGGTTTCGTTATGCAAGGATATTTTCAGAAATAATTAGGATAATTTAGTTCTTTAGATTTTTAGTTCTGTCGAAAAATAGTTCTACGGTCGTCTGTCAGTAATTAGAGACATGCCTTGAGCATCCATCATCGATTTGATCATTCGACTTTTTATGTCCCAAAAATTGGAGCCAACCATCGCACCTGCCACCTGGGTTCTACTTTTGCTTTAGCAAATCCGTCAGGGTTGATCTCTTTTTCTCCCTGCGAAAACTCGACAGTCCCATGTTCCTTTTGTGCTTCTATGCACCTAAATCGGACCTCCACCATATCCTCTAAACTTCAACTCAACCGGTTACTAGCTCCATCGAAAGATATTCCTATGGCCGCCTGTCAGTAACCAGAGACATGTCCTGAAAATTCATCTTCGATTTAACCACTCGACTTTTTATTTCCAAAAAATTGGAGCCATCCATCGCACCTGTCACCTGGGTTCTACTTTTGCTTCAGCAAATCCGTCAGGGCTGACCTCTATTTCTTTCTGCGACGTTTCGACAGTCCCATGTTCTTTTTGTGCTTCTTTGCACCGAAATCGAATCTTCGCCATATCCGCTAACTCAACCGGTTATCTTTAGTCCATCGCACCTGCCATTTGGGTTGAAATTTTGCTTCGGTAAATCCGTTCGGTTTGACCTGTTTCGTCCCGTGAAACTTCGACAGTCCCATGTTCCGTTTGTGCTTCTGTGAACCTGTTGCAAAAAAGGAATACATGTCCATGGCTCCCCTATGGAGCACCGCAGACGAGTTGGGTATCAGTTTACACGGTCTGAACCGCGGTGTTTGCGCGCGGCGATGAAAAGTTGTCACAGTCGGTTGAGCCACCGTGGAAGGGAACAGCGGGGGAGGTGGATGGGAGTCGGTGGCGCACAAGGGGGTGGGTACAAGAAAGGCAAAGGGAAAAAGGCTGGGGCAAAGTAGCAAAGGGAAGCCGACACGGTGCGCCGCGGCGATATCTGCCAAGAAACTGGTGGCCGTGATGTAGCGCTCCCCAGGGACTTGAGTTATGTTTCTCGAATTAACGTGGATATATGTCCCGTGTACCGTGAGTGAAGCACGCGAATTGTGCCGTTGTCGGGACTTCTCTGTGCACACACAGCGTTCCCGCTGATTCCTTACTTGACGAATATCGCAGTTGCGGTCCCTTTAGGCTGTCAGGGAATAGCTTGGAAGCACGAAAATTACAAAAAGGTTGAACTTGGCGGTACACTTAATTCTTTTTCCGTCCGATAAATTTAACATTAATTATAAAGACATTATTTCCACTTATTTTTCTAGGAAATTGTTCTTGGCTAAAAAAAAATTCTTAACTGGTTTATTATTGAAACAATTTTTTCATGTGTGTGGGTAATAATTCAGTTATAGACGCATTTTTTTGGAAACGTTTGCATCGTGTAAAAACAGAATTAAATGTATGTATCTAGTTTGAAGAAAGGTTTTGTTTCTGTTTAACCTTGTTCGATTTCTGATGGGATATTTTTATCTTCATATTAGTCTGAAAAATAATACAGTAACTCGCAGAGGTAATTAATACAAACTTGATTAAACTATATTAAACTCTTTATTGCATTGAATTGTATGTTATAGAAACTCATAAAATCCGCAATATAAAATAAGTAAATTGAACAAACGTAGTCACGATTGATTTTGATTTCTCGTTACCTGAACGTCTGCAGTTTATTGATAATACCCCTATCCTGACAGATTAGATAAACATAGATAATTTTGCTTTCATACTTTTCCGAAACTCTTAGTTTTTCCTTCCTATAATATACCTAGTGCTGTTTCAGACAAGAACACACAAAATTGTGAAAGGAAATAAAAAATGGGTACCTGGGTACTCGGGTACCCGGTTGCCTGCATAAGGGTTAAATCAAGCTAAGTGAATCGACGACAAATGCGCGTCTATTCAATTGAATCCGTTACTTCAATGGAAAAATCCTCGTGTCACGGCAAACGGCAGTCATTCAGACTGTTCAGTCCCGGGAGCAACGTGGTATTATGCAACCGGCCTAATACAAAACGTCCGAATCCTGCAACATTATCCATGGGTAGACCATTAAAGTGAATTACGACGGGGACAAAAATTTGCCAATTACTAATAATTGCCCGGCCGTATGATCGGGCGTCCGTGGGCAGAATATCCGTCCTGATAAGATCTAAAATATGATGCCATCGACCGGTTTTTTCGTCGAAGTTATACATACGTAATCGCGTGTACCCACGCGCAGGTGCTCGTGGATCGGGGGTAGGTACGATCGATTTGCATCGACCTGGCCGCAGGATGCAGGACCATCGTTGGTTGGTCGTTTCCTTTTCGTCGTTTTCTTACGCCTTTTTTTTTTTCTTGTTCTTCTTTCCCGCGTATGCTACTCGCGTCTTCCTCTTAATGGGTTAACGCTACCGATCCGCGCTTAACCATCGGGGCCCCTTTGCGCGAGAAACCGCCGCTAAAGAGAGTAGCAACCTGGCAACCACCATTAAAACCGTTAGGATGAATATGTTTTTATTGAACCATGCACACAGGGGACCCAACGTTC